AGCTACCCATGTCTGCAGACACTACCCAACAACCTTGAGGGAAACACCCTTCCTCCCTCAGGCTGCTGTAGTGGACAAAGGTGCCCTGGAATAGATGATCAGGCTATTCATGCAATAAATTGATGAAGGAAGCAAAGGTAAACGTACTGAAGAGAAAGGTCACATTCTCTGAGTCAAAAAGAAATACAGAGGACTAAGAGCATATAAGCTGTCTGAAAGAGGACAGGACAGGAATTGCAAGTCCACAGTAATTCCAAGATAAAGGTCATTGCTGAGAGTTTCAGAGGAGAAGCTGGTTTAGAGTTTGAGAGTAGCTAAGTGTCAAAAAAAGCAGCTGAGCTAGGGATGTAGCTCATGGTACAGTATTTGCTTATCATGCACAAAACCCTGAATTCAACCCCCAGTACCACACAGAAAGGAGCTGATAAGTGTGCAAATCCATTTCTGGAGTGTATGAGACACATCCATTTCTGGAGTATATGAAGAGATGTCAGGGAGCTACAGGATTTACTGCTTTAAGAGTTACATATTTAGCACATTATTAGGAGGGGAAAACACATTGGGTTTCTATTGATGGTACAATAGTTATAAAGTTCCATTATGGTATATTTTAAAGAAACTGATTCTCACAATACCATTTCTCCCCTTACTAGATACACACAACAGATACTTCCGACACCAGAGGCATACCGGGTTTCCCCCAGCGCTGGGCAGTTCTCTAAAGGACCTTTCAAGGCTGATACTAAAAAATGGAGTTAAATCCCACAGATTGAAGGGTCAACTTTCAAGAGGCCCCAACTTCATATTCCAGTCTCAAGAGCCAGATTGTAAGCTGGCTTCCACTGACCAGTTGTTAACTGGGATTGTCACCATCCCCTCCTAGAATCTGATGGCCTGCTGGGATGCTTCACAGAACACAGAGAAACAAACTTTTATTATAAATGATACTGATGAACAGCCAGGTCGAAGGAGGGCCCGGGGATCCAGAACATAGAAACTTTGGTCATCGTAAAACTAGGATGCAGCAGGCTCCTGGTATGTGAATATATTGACCAACTCAAAAGCCTGTCAAATCTCCTTGCATATAAATATTCATAGAATTTAATCACTAGCTTTAGCTACCATTTTCTGAAGGGGATATGCAGGGCTAAAAGTTCCATTTTTTTAACTGTTGGGTCTTTCTGATGTCTTGCCCTACCTTGAGGCTAGATCAGCCCCATTTAAATCCCTAATGACCATAAACTCAGATGTAATGAGAAAAAGCTTCTTATAAGAAAAGAAAATCCGGGCAGGGCATTTAGCTCAGCATGCCTGGCATGAGCAAGTTCAATCCCTGGTACGCACAGAGCAGGGTGTGGTGGCTCACACCTACAATCCCAGCACTTGGGAGGCTGAGATGGGAGGATCATTGCTAGTTCGAGACTATCCTGGGCTACAAAGTGAGCTCAAGGCCAGCCTGAACTGCATAGCGAGGCCCCATAAAAGAAAATCCTATAGCATAGGAAATTCCAAGAGTTTCAGGAGCTTTGTAACAGGAACTAGGGACAAAGACAAAACACATTTTTTAAATTATAGAAGTAACTCCTTCTCTTTTGGGGATATGTTCCCAGACCCTTGATAGATGCCTGAAACCAAAGACAGTACTGAATCCTTTATATGTGCATGGCAGTACCTCAACAGCTGATATATTCTAGCAACTGAGAAGCCCACTAACAGGTAGGTAGCATATACAGCACAGATACACTGGACAAAGCAGCCATACAGGTACAAGGCAGAGTAGAGCAGGATGACAAGATTTCCACACACTACTCAGAAATGGTGCACAATTTTAAACTTATGAATTGTTTGTTTCTGGAATTTGCCATTTAATATTTTCAGAGCCAGATTGACTATGAAACTGTGAAAAGAAAAAAATACTCCTAAGTATGCCACACTGCTATTTAAAAAAAAAATCAAGCAATTATAAAACAGGCAATGCAAAAATTGTGCAAACAGTGAACGAGAGGAGTTTGGAAATTAAAAAAAAACTGGAGCACTGCTGGAGTTTGAGCCAACTTTCCCCACCAGGCCTGTCTCTGCAACGTGTGGACCAGATGTCTGGTGACCTGGGAGCAGACACAAACCTCTTGCTGTGGGCCAGATCTCAAGACAGAAGGCAAAACAAACGCAACCACAGCCTTAAGTATAATCCTTAAGGATTGAGTCTGGATCAACTTGAGAAATCAGGAGCTACCATTCCAATCCCTAGGGAAGAGTCACTGCTCTCTAAGAATGCCTGCCTTCTATGTGACTTGCTTCCCCGTTTATTCCCAATTTAATCAATTTTACCAGAGCTAATAATCTTACTGGTTGGCCATAGCTCTGTTCCCACTGTATGCTCATCTGCCTTGTGAGTTCCCAGTTTCCCCAACTTTAGACCTGCCTTACCTCATGATTTTACTTTATAAAAATCCTGAGAAAATACAGAATCTTTGGCAACACACTCGGGACCCCTTGACAGAAGCTTTCTTTCTCTCCATAAATATTTCTGCTCTTAATCTCCATTTAGAATCTCCTAAAATTCATTCTTCGATTTTAGAGAACATGCACTCGTTCTGGACATATTGTAGGTCGGGAGTTTCATTCCCCTATATCACCTGCTGACATGGGGCCCACTAACACTGATGTCTCTCTCCATGTTCCTCTGCACATACTGATCCCTGGTCCCAGTCCTGCAGCCATCTTCTCCTCTGCCGTCAAGGAAGATGCCCCATTCATCCTTTATAGAAGACTGAGCCTGCATTTTACAGTCCTAGGTCTCCTGGCTCTCAACACACAACCCTTCTTTTATGCACCCTCTAGCTATTTCTTGATTGTATTTCAGCTTCCCAGCCAGTTTCATTTGTTTGTTTGCTTGCTTGTTTTTTTTTTTTCCATTCCTGGGGATTAAATTTATAGCTCTGTACATGCTAGGTAAACACTTTACCACTGAGCCACATCCTCAGCCCCCTCAGCCAGTTTTGAAGATTTCTGTAGCGAAAGTCGTATCGGTGTTCTTCCCAGGCACAGGGCTAGGGCAGGATCCCTAACTGGAAGGGTATTGGGATAGGTGTCATTCCTTAGCCACAGACCTAAGAGCCAGTTACAAGTCAAGTTAATGACCTAATAATGATTTCTCTCTTTCTGCAAGAGGCATTGTCAGTAATACAGTGTTTGCGGATCTAAAGAATATTCATCGGCCTCCTCTATATATGGCTGAGTAGTCTCCAGTAAAGAGTGCCCATAAAGGTCTTTTAGGCAAAGAAATGATATCCTTTCCACCATGCAAAAACACAGAAGAAACACTTGGGTCCCCGACGTTCATCCTTCCATATCCTGATCCCCAACATTTCAAATGTAGTAAGTAAAATAACAAACTGACACAGTGTGTGCGTGGGAGGGATAGAATAGATATCATTTAACTTTCAAGACTTTCAAAAACAGAAATCTTGAACTGAGGGGCAGAATAACATTTTCTAAAATAAACAGAATAGGAATGCTGGATGGCAAATAGCCGCATGCGCTCCAGGAATAGCAGGAACAGGCTGTTCTGTGCTGATGGTTCCTGAACCAGTGTTTTTAACACCCAGCAACATTAACTTCGTATCTTAATCAAGGCCGAGGCACTCTCAGCAGCCCTTAAAGCATTACCTCCCAAGAAAACACTCTAAATACCCTAGGATTGAAAAAAAAATCCTAGGTACCACAAATTGCACTTAGCAACTACTCAACCATATTATTTCCTTCCTGTCTAATGTAATTTTTCTGTTTTCTCATATAAAGGATTTTGGCTACTTTAAAAAAATTATCCTCCCTCCTAAATTAACCTGGCTTTTATTTAACAATCAAAGAACGAGAGTGAAGAAGTACTTCTATAACTACCTTGTAAGTAACCAAACAAAGATTTTCCCTCATAACCATTTCCAATGTAAATTGTGCTGCTGGGAGGTACAAGGTTGTGTCTCAGAGGTGCGGAGTAGGAAGGCTGATCCTGACAGCTAAGCCTAGCAGTACACCCAGTGGACAAGCCTCATCGTTGAGTGGGAACACAGGCCATCCCAACAGATCCCTCACTTCTTAGTCATTGTCTAGTTTACGCAACAAATAATTACAGGAATCCCTGAACAAGCCTGGCATCTGCCTCGCCCTCAGAGACTTATAGTCTAAAGTTAAACCACTTAGATGGTTTCATTAATTCATTCCACAAATAATTATTTCACATCCCCCTCCCTTTTTTTTTTTTTTTTTTTTACTTTTGCCATACAGGAAGCACTGAGAATCATCGTCGGGAAAGACAGGCCACATCCTGTATTTAAGAGATTTCTTCCAGGGGGAATTAGACAAATTAACAAGATGATCTCGAGAGACAAGTATTTAAAAAATGCAACAGGATGTTGTGATGGGTGGACGAGAAGTAGGATCAGATGGTGCAGCAGGACCTAGAGACTCAGGGCTACCTTGCTGGGCCGGTAATACGACTCACTAGGTCTCTGTGTCTTGCCCCGCCCTCCCCGCGAGAGCCCCAAGATTGCAGGCAGGTGGAATGGGCCGGGCAAATGGGTCGATTAGCCCATTTGGTTGATTGTCTTCAACCCCACAGCTGCCTGAGCTGAAACAGGAAGAGGGAGCAACTGTCTGGAAGGAATTTTCAAACCCGACGCCACGGAAACTTATTTGCAGGAACTCTATAAAAACCATCCCTCCAAGGCCCGCAGGCCTCCAAATCCGCTCCCATCCCACGCAGCACAGACAACTGCGCCGCGTCGCCCAGCGCCTACGCAAAACAGCGCCTGCGCAGCACGGCGCCGGCCCGCAGGAGCGCGCTACTTAGCTCTGCGTCGGCGCACTGCGCTGCGCTCGCGCAAGGGGCGGGACTTGCCTTAGTGGCAGCGCGCAAGAGGCGGGGCTTGGTTGCGCCGCGCTAGATCCGCGCTAGCCAGGCTGGGATAGGGCGTGGGGCCGCGCGTCGGGACGTCCTCGCGCCGGGCCTTACGGCGCCTGCGCGCTGCGTTGCCGGCCGGGGTGAGGGGCGGGGCCGGAGTACCTCTGTGCCTCATTGTCCCTTATCGCCGCCCGAACATCCAGCAGGTTGCCGGCACCATGAAGATCTGGACTTCGGAGCACGTATTTGAGTAAGTTTGACACGCTCCGGGCCTAAAGTGGCGCGAGACAGAGAAGACCTCTGGGAACTTCCAGACGTCGGGCCTGGCGGGAGAGCCGAGCTTGAGCCGCGGGAGAGTGGAGGAGGCAAGGTCACGACCCCAGGGCCCGGAAGTGGTGGCCCGGGGTCTGGCGGGAGTGGGGGGAGCGGGCGTCGCGCCTGTCGGTGGAAGTCTCCAGGGACCGAGGGGACATCGCACAGCACGAGGCCCTCGACAGTTCTTAGGGCGGCTGCTTCCGGCCTGGCAGAGCCCAACTGGGATGAGGACCCACGGGTCCCAAGAGAGGCGTAGGTTGTCTCAAGAGGCCAGTTGCAGCAGCCCCCTTCTGGGTGAAATTTCTAACCCTAAACTTGAATTTCAGTTGAACTGAGGCCACGAGGGTGCGAACCCTTGATGACAGCTTGTTCACCTAAGAACACAGAACCTTGGTTTTGGAGTCCAAGGCATCGCTCTGGCTCCAAAAAGTTTGTGACCTTGGTTTCCGTTTTTTCTGAAATGGCTGTTGTGTGGGTCCGTGTTCAGTTTCGGTTATCGTGAACTTTTATTGATTTTTGTTTTATTTTGAGACAGGATCTTGCTATGTACTTCAGACTGCCCTTGAACTCACTGTAGCCCAGAGTGGTCCTCCTGCCTCAGCCTTCCCCAGTGCTGGGACTGCAGGTATGCACCAATACATCTGGCAGTTATCACGGGCCTTAGTAACAAGAGTAAACCTTAATCCAGTGGAGCATTGTAAATTATCTTCAGGATCCACAATTTCACGTACAAAAAAAAATCACAAATATAAGCAGCTCTGTTATTTTTGGCCCAAAACAAATAGTCAATAGTCAAGGTTAACTCCAGGACTCTACTGGCTGACTTCCACCAAAGTGTTTTTGGTTTTTGGTTTTTGTGGGGTTTTTTGGCCAGGGTTTTACACGTACTAGGCAAGTGTTCAACCACTGAGGCATACCCCCCAGCCCAGCTTCCACCTATGTGAATGTCACTGTTGGTGATTTATATGTGAGTCCAATTCTAAGCTCTCGGCTGTATTTGGTTCATCTTGCTGTTACCACACTGTCTGAATTATTATAGCTTTGTGGTATATTTCAGCATAGACATTTGAGTTTTAAAAAGTGTTTCAGTGGGCAGTATTAAAGGAAGTTGTCAGCCGAGTGTGGTGGTTCACACCTGTAATCCCAGCACTTGAGACACTGAGGTAGAGGATTGCAGTGAGTTTAAGGCCAGCCTGAATATACATAGGGAGTTCAAAGCCACCTGAACTACAAAGCAAGACCAAGACCGTGTCCAAAAAAAAGTCAACTTTTTTTTTTAGTGAATCAGATCCATCTTAGAGCCTACTGTTTCCTGTCACAAATAAACTATGATTTTTTTTTCTTTTAATGGTGTATGTTTGCAATACATAATAGTTAAAATTGTTCAGGGAAATTGGTATGTGTATATAACATCATTTTCAATTCCTTTACCCCCCCCCAGCCTACTCCTTTTCTCTTCCTTATCTCCCAAAATCCGTTTTTTCCTGAATTCGTTTTCAAAAAGTTTTTGTTTCCTACCATCTTTCCTTTACCTTTTTATTTCTAAATTAGATTTCTCATTAAACGAAACCATGTGATAGTTTCAGTGTCTGACTTATTTCACTTAACGTTGCGTCTCAAGGTCCATCCATTTTTCTGCAAATGATTTGTTCTCATTCTTTATGATTGAGTGTATTTTTATACTTATACACCACACACATACACACACACAGAGTCTGTCACAAAAATGTGTTCACACCTCAACAACAGAAAACGTTGTATAAATATTTTAATAATAAACTTATTGAGACATCAGGAGTTTGACACAAGTTCTCTTTGGCCTCTACAATTACAAGAGGTGCTCAAAAACAGTGGCCATTAGCTTCCAGACATTAGTATAGTGAACGGCTGCTTGGGTGACCTTGGTCAGCATTTATAATTCCTTCTCTAAAGGCCAGCAGCATAGTGGCTTTTCTTTGATATACGACATCCTCTGGGGTCACCCATCTGAGAATAATGCCACCTGTTGAAAAAAAATCATACTATCTTTTCTTTTTTTTGTCTTTTTGAGATAGGGTCTTGCTGTGCAGTTCAGGCTGGCCTTGAGCTCACTTTGTAGCCCAGGCTGATCCTCCCACGTCAGCCACCCGAGTGCTGGGATTACAGGTGTGAGCCACCACGCCCGGCTCCATACTATCTTTTTTTTTTTTTTTTTTTTTTTTTTGTCTTTTTCATTTTTATCGGTACCGGGGATCGAACTCATGACTGCCTGCTAGCAAGGCAGGTGCTTATGCCGCTGAGCTAAATCCCCAGCCCCCATACTATCTTTTCTTAAAGTTTGTATACATTTTTTGGCAGACTATATAGCTCCCACTTTCTTTCTCCCCTTGTCTACCGACGGGCATCAGGATTGTTTCCAGAGTTCAGTTAATGTGAAATGAGCTGCTATAAACGTGGGCAGGCAAAGCACGGATTGTTGTGGTGTGATGCCTTTCACTCCTTTGGGAGCATACCCAGGAGTGGTAGCTGCTCAAATGAAATTTGTATTTTAGTTTTTTCAGAAATGTCCATGCTAATTTGCATGGTGTTGTACTGGCTTCCGTTACCACTAACAGTGTGTAAAGGGTTCATTTTTCCTCCCTCATCCTCCTTCGCCAACTTTTTCCTTAATGATCGCCATTTTGACTGGGGAAAGATGAAATCTCAAAGAGCTTGCATTTCCCTAATGGCTAAAGATGATGAATGTATTTTGTTGTATTTATTGGCTCTTTGTACTTTTTGTGAGAAGTGTCTCTTCACCTCATTTGCTAATTTTTATGGTTGGGTCACTTGTTTTAGAAGGATTAGGTTTCTTTTAGGTTCTTTATATATTCCAGATATTAGTTCTGTATCAGTAGAGTCCCTGGCAAAAAATATTTTCCCGTTCTGTTGATTGTCTTTTCGTTCTGTTTCCTTTGCTGTGTAGAAGCTTTTTAATGTAGTCCCATTTGTTGATCCTTGACATTGTTTCTTGTGTTACTAGATTCTGTTGAAGAAGTCCTGGCCTCTGGTTGTAGCTTCAAGCATCTCCTTTTGGTTGATCTTCCAACAGTTTTAGAGTAGCCAGGCCTCTGATTCCTCCTAGAACTCCCTGCTCTTCCCTGACGCTCGCTCTTCGCCCAGCCTGCCCCCTCCCCTCTCCGGTTCTGCTGCCCCTTCAGCATCGCCCCCCCTTTTCCCTGTCAGTGTAAATGTTCATTGAGGTTCAGTTCTTGACCTTCCTGTCGTGCATTTCATTAGTATTTTTTCCTCTTTTTGTCACAGACCTAGCAGTTTGATGAGGCCTCTTATATCTTCATTCTATAAGATAAACACACGCCAGTGAATGTGCCCATGGGCCGGGAGGCCACCCTCGGTGGGCTTACTGTCCTGTGGTCGGACTACTCAGTTAAAGCCCCGTCTACGGACTGACATGCGGCACTAAGCACAGCCAGTCTTGCACTTGAAGCCCTTGTTGTCAGGTGCCCACCGGACACCTGGGGTGACCACCACACGTCCAGAGACTCATCACACCGAGCTGCTCTGAGGTCAGAGGCATAGTGGCCTCTCACAGATCTTCCCACTGTCGTCATCAGGATGCTCTGAAACAGTGACTGAGGCATCATTCCACATCTTATCTAGCCTTGATTTTCCAGCTCTACTTCCTCGTGAGGCCTGGCATAAAGTTGACATTCATTTGAAGCCAGTCATTCCTTCAATGCCCTGGTGGGTGTGGTGGCACCCACCTGTATTCTGAAGCACTCTGGTAGCTGAGGCAGGAGGATCATTGGAGTTCAAGGCCAACCTGGGCTGCAGAGTGAGTTCAAAGCCAGTCTGAACCACATAGTGAGACTCTGTCTTTAAAAAAAAAGCCCAGTGTGTGCTAGGCACTGTTCTTTGGACTAGCACATACCAGTAAACAACACACATAGTCCTTCTATAGAGGTCACTAAGTCCTCACCTTATCTTATAGGTGAAGAAATTGTGTAGGTTGCCTTCATTCCTCCTTGGTGGTATCTTTTTATGTCTTCTAGTGTTAGGTCTTTTTCCACATAGTTATGTTAATACAATTAAAACTAATAGCTGGAAGACTTAATCATAATATGTATCTTTTGTAATATTTGATCTAATTATGTTTCATAAAGCAGTCTTAGTCCAACCTAAATCAACAGATGTTTTCAAGTTGGCTTAGAAAACAGAGATATCCTAAAATCACAAATAATGCATAACCACCCTGAAGCTATGTGGTTATTTATTTTTTAGAGGGTACAGTGGGAAAGATAAGTACATAGAAGCCAGTTAACCATGGTATACGGATGGCTGGACAGGAAAGAGGTTCATCTGATTTTCATTTTAGATAGTTGCCTTGGTAACAATCAGAGTGCTTGGCCTGTATCATTTCAATTTGTGAAGATGGTTTAGATTTATGAAGCAGTTCCACTTATATATCTGAATTGATTATTCAATAAGACTTGAGATTAAAAACAGAATAAGGTTAATTTATGCAATATTAATGAGAAAATGAAGACATTAAAAATCATGTCACTGATTGTCCAGGGTTCTGAGAAGTTAATGGAGTTGAGGTTTTCTTTCTGTTGACAAGGTGTACTTGTCAATCTGAGTTCTCGGAAAAGTTGAAATAGATTAATGTCTGCCCTTTCACTTCTACAAAAATAAGAAATGATGCCATGTGGTTTCTGTCAGTCATTGTAGTTTGAAAATCATGTCCAGACCTCATCTGTTTCCTGTGGAATGAAGACAAGAAGCCAAGCATAGTGGCTATACCTGTAATTCCAGAAAAGCAGGACCCCAAATTTAAGCCCAGCCTGGGCAATTTAGCAGCTTAGCTAGTCCCTATCTCAAAATTCAGAAAAGGCCAGGTGTCTAACTCAAATCTGAAGGCTGTGAGTTCAGTTCCCAGTACCTCAAAGATGAGAGAAGGGAGGGAGGAAGAACAGATAAACAGTGTAGCAGGGTCAGAATCAGACTGCAGGTGGCTTAAACTGCCTGCAGTGCTAATTGTAGTTAAAAGGGCGTCTTTCGAAAAGTGTGTCTTTTGTATAAGCATCTTATTCATAGACTTGTGAAGAGCAAATATACGTCACACTGTGAATCACTCAAGCGTATGTGCTTTTTCAAGAAAATAAAAACTGCGAGTTCTCAAGTGATGTGGTATTACTACCACTTCAACCCTAGGTGATAAGTAAGTTCTTATTATTAAGACAAATTATTAGAGAATGACATACTAGGAGTACCTTAATGACATTTATTGTATTTAGTGACATTTTGAAACAAAATCACTTCTTTGATTTTGGCTATTCACTGTTATATTAATATAAAGAGAAAATTTTAATAACTAATGATACTTGGTGTCTTTTTGGTTTTTTTGTTGTTGTTGTTGTTTTGTTTTGTTTTGTTTTGTTTTGTTTGCAGTACTGGGGATTGAACTCTCGACTTTGCGTTTGCCAGGCAGGTGCTTATGCCGCTGAGCTAAATCCCCGGCCCTTGATGTCTTTTTGTAACCCCTATAACAATGTACAATGCCTACATTTTTAAGAAAATAACAGTGTCTATAAGTTCTTTCACTGTTTATAAGTTCATAAAACTGTCATCAGACAAAAGAATAATTTGTAAATTTTTTTGCTATTATTTCCAGAAGACCCTAATTTTTAAATACATGTTTATGAATTAGTGTTTCTTCTTAGAAACAATTTACATGTGAAGAGATCATTTAGAAAACTACTCTAGGTAGTTTTTTTTTTAGGCATCGGTTATTCTGTGCATAACCTGTGTTGTAGAAAATACTGAAGTTTGTACACATTAACATGTTGATCAAACTCTCAAAATCATCGAGTCATTATTTCAGAAAGGAATTTTTCCTAGGTAAACTAAGTTTCCATTGTAAAGAATAATTTGATGGCCTATAAAAATCGTTTAATTCATATGCACATTTTTAACAATGTTCGACTTGTGTTGGCAGCCACCCGTGGGAAACTGTTACCACGGCTGCAATGCAGAAATACCCAAACCCTATGAACCCGAGTGTGGTCGGAGTTGATGTGCTGGACAGACACATAGATCCCTCTGGAAAGCTGCATAGCCACAGACTTCTCAGCACGGAGTGGGGACTGCCTTCCATCGTGAAGTCCGTAAGTATTCTGCTTCTCAGAAATGGGGCTACAGTGGAGAAGTTTCTAAACCACATTCTAATTTCAAATAGGTTGTGGGAGCTGATTCCAAATGTCGTTTTGCATCAGTTCAAATTATAATAAATGAGTTACGAGGTTATAATGAATTGGAAGTATTATTACAGTCTTCATTAAGGCACTCGATAAAGCCTTCTGAAAGAAGCCAGCTAATGCTCCAAAGTTGAAAAAGAGTTGTGTTGTTTTTCCTGCCTTTTCCAGCAACTTGAAACCATTAAGACTTAGCATTACTGGTCTGATGGTGACTGCTAGGTGACAGTTGCTATGGACAGTGGTAGGTTGTGTACATCCAGTAAGGAAAATAATTCTCAGATCTGCTGTTGTCACCTTTGTGACATGGTCAGGTGTTCCTTCTTGTGCATTAGAAACATTTCTATTCAGTTATAAAGAGCTGGTTTAATAAGCAAGAAACTACATGCTGATTTATTGTAAGTAAAAAAACTGATGGAATAAGTGAATCCAGGTTTCTATAAAGCTCCACTCAGAAAACTGCACATTTTTCAACAGGAATGCACTGATGACCTCCTTTATACGGACCATGGCCTTAGATAGTGCAAACACAGAAATGAGTTCAGTCAAGAGATGAGCTTGGGAGTCACAGCACACAGAGTGACCCTGGGTGCTAGCATGTGCTCTTCCACGTGTGATAGCTGCTTTTCTTTTTAGTCTCTCTGGAGACAGAGGCTGTGGGGACTTTGCCTTGGACTGCTCTGGGTGATGCTGACAGATGTCTTGAGTTCTTCCTTTCCTAGATGCCAGATTTCTTACTTCTGTATTTCCATTTCATACTTCCTGCTCACACCTAGGTGATTTCAACATCAGAGAGACTTCCCTTTCACCATTGTCTGTTTCCTCGAATTTTTTCAAAACAGATTCTTTTGTTCCACATACTGTGCACATTTATACCTTCAAATACAATATTGATACACTTGGTTAAGAAATCCTTCTTCCCCTGGTTACTAATTCCAAATGTTTTACTTAGATTATTGGTGCAGCAAGAACCAAGACATATGTGCAAGAACATTCTGTCGTTGATCCCGTAGAAAAAATAATGGAGCTTAAATCTACTAATGTAAGTGCGGGCTTTCTTTTGTTTCAATTTTGAACTGTTTGGCTTAGTTTTTTCTCTCATCCAGCTGATACGTGATAGGTATATGTTCTTTGGTGTGAATGTAGAAAGTCATTATTCAGAAGCTGTATTTTCTTTGCTCTGTTCAACTTTTTAAGCCTCCTCACTGTAGTTAACCTGCCTCTTTCTAGGAGCTGTTGCTCAGTAAAGTTGATTTGAGATCATGTGCATAATATTATCATTGTTATTGTTATTATTACTACTACTATTATACTTTCCTTGAATTTATTTTTTAGAAAGGTAGTCATCAAATAGTGAAATTTTAAGCTATATTTGCATAGCAGTATCAGAGTAGTTTATTAGTTGGTTTTATTGTTTTGTATGTTTAAATAGTAAGACTTCAGTTCACGTGTTAATTTGAAAAATGTTTTTGTCTTTATTTCCAAAATGACAAACTTTTCCCCTCATGCTATAGATTTCATTTACAAATATGGTTTCAGTGGATGAGAGACTTATATACAAACCACATCCTCAGGACCCAGAAAAGTGAGTAAAAAGTTAACAAACGTATTTTACGAAGCATTTTTTGTTAGATTTTTTTTTTCTTTTTTAATGATAATTGGGTCATCTGAAAGTGTGGCTGTATTTTGTGCAGAACCGTTCTGACTCAGGAAGCCATCATCTCGGTGAAAGGAGTCAGCCTCAGCAGTTACCTTGAAGGGCTGATGGCGAGCACAATATCTTCAAATGCTAATAAAGTAAGTAGGCTGCTTCCTGATTATTTATTATTGCCAGGGTTCGCTTCCTGGAAGAGCTTGGCTGAATGTGTGTTTGTCCTTGTAAGCTGACTCTCAGCCACTCTGCAGAGCAAAGAAAGCAAGCATTACATGGTTGTTTGCACAGGCTCTGCAGCCCAGCACACCTGAGTTTACATGCATGCTCTAACTCTTAGCCAGCCTCTCAACCGTGGGCAATTAACTGAGCTCTCCTTGCCTCAGTTTCCATCTGTGAAGTTGAGATCACCCTCTTGCTAGGTTGGCGTGAAGTAACACGGAAAGCGTGTGGCCCAGGGCTCTGCACATAGCCAGTGCCTAATGATTTGTGACTGTGTGTTACCGTTTAGAGTGCTGCTTCTTAGTTATTTGTTGCTACCCCCACCATTGGTTCTAGACTTTTCCTCCTAACTGGCACTCCCATAAAATTATTCAGTAACTACACATAGACACACACATATGCTATAAGACATAAAAGGATAAAATTATAAGTTAGGGAAAGAGCTGCTTAATGCATTATTTTGTAGACACACGTTTAATAAAGTCATTCAGCAGTCAGATATATTCGTAGATACTTTCTTTGTGCCAGGCAGAGTGCTAGGCTAGCTGGGGGTACAGCAGGGAGCAAAACAACTGTGGAACGAAGAGGTGACGACATTCACACAGCACATCACTAGGAAATACAGGTGTGAAAGTATTTGAATGTTCACTAATTCTACCAAGTGCCAGATGGGTGGGCAGCAGGGTGGTTGTGAAGGAAGCGGTCTCCAAAAAGAGCATTCCTGCTGGAAGAATTGGGAGCGCAAAGGCCCTGGGACAGGAAACGTGAAATGTGCCTCCTCTGTTCCTCAAGGAACTGCACAGAGCACCAAAAGGGACCAGATCCTGTGCAGCCTGTACATGACTTTAAATGTAGACACTAAAAGTAAAATATGACATAAAGAGAGGTTGACCAGTCATGAAATACATAAGACACCCTGTCATTTAATTATAGATTGATTTGAGAACATCTTTTGCATACAAAATAAAAGTCAGTTTATGGATCAAGCCAGTTGTTCGAGGCACTTGATATTTGGTAAATAATAGAAAAGAGGAAGGACAAAAGTAACCTGTCCTCACAGGACTCAGCCTTGTAATGCTCCCTGTTACTTCCTGCTGTGTCATTTACTTGATACATACCTGTGTTGCCACTCAGTAACAATGACTATCGGATTTTTTTAAGGGCAGAGAAGCAATGGAATGGGTAATACATAAACTAAATGCTGAGATTGAAGAATTGGCAGCTTCAGCAAGAGGAAGCATACGGACACCAATGGCGGCGGCGGCATTTGTAGAGAAATGATAAACAGAGTTGGTACACAGTACCAGTCTCAAAGCCGACGATATATTTATTTGTTATTTTAAAAAAACAACAACTATATTTTAGGTGTTTTTTTTTTTTTTTATATAAACTGGAGTAAGGCTATGTGATTTTCATCCAAACACAAAGATACAGGGTTCTAAATCACAGGGATCATCTGATGTGAGTATGGCTTGAAATGACTAATTGCTAGGGTTCAGTATTTAAGTGAAAATGTAGTTTTTTTAAATACTTGGAAACATTGGTATTGACAGTGCATCCTCTTAAGACAGAGTGTGCAAGCTGTTCAGACACTGGGACTTCCCTGGCTGTGGACCAACCCCAGAAGAAAGCAGAGCCTCCCTTCACATACACAAATTAGCAGTGTGTGTGTGTAAGGAACTCGCTCTACAAGAAGAAACTGTAGAGTTGTAAAAGACACTCATTTGTATAAAATAACTTGCTGGGCTAGAAGCCACAGTGTTACGATTTGGTACTGAAATGGTATTTTTGGAGTGAAAACTACCACTAAAGTAATATGTGACTCCAACAGAAATATTATTTTATTGTATTAAAGAGTACTGTATCAGTTTGCCAAAAGTTTTGTGACTTAGTAAACGTATTACCTTCTTTGGATTTGTACTCTATGACATAGCACGCTGTACTGTGAGCTGGTTATGCTAACTAAAAAATAAAAGTCCTTACCTGAGTTTTGCAGCACTCTTAACACTTAAACAGAAGAGCAGCTGTTCACATCTTTCAGCATTTCACGTTTACTTATAAATTGCCATGTGTCAGAATCATGGTTTTGTAATTGCTAAGGCATGATATGTCAGGTTATTTGAATATAATTACTTTTTGAAGTAATTGTGACCACAAAACATCTTTTTACATGAGAAGCTGTACATCATTTGAAATTAGTCAAATAATGTCTTGGTCTGAAGCATAAATGCCAGGTACTTAATGTTTTAATAACATGGTGTCATGGTGGGCGGTGGGGCACTGGGGGAGAAAATGAAGTTCTTGGTGGGCAGAATGGAGTGGTCCACACTCAGCAAATTGCACTGTAGATTTTATTTATCAGAAATCCTTATTTTGGTTAACAAGGTGGCTGAGAAACAATCCAGTAAATGTATTTTGTTTAGTATTTTGTACTGGGCACTTAATCCCTAAACGGTATCTTTGATACTTGGAAGAGTTGTATACAATTTTTGTTAAAAGGTGGTTAGCTTTTGCTTTTATTTTATAGTGCTTAATACAATCAACTTTTAGTTGGGTTTCCTATGCAGACCAGTTAATACATCCACATTATAGAAACAGTACCAAACTTTTAAAATTAGTATTTTTCTACTTAAAATATTGTGTGGTTTAAGAATTCTTAGGACATTTGTAAATTATGCTAAATTCCGATAAGGTTTCTGATTTTTTTTTTTTTGTAACCAGAAATAGTTTTACAATTGAAGTACTATTTCAGCTTTAAAAAAATACTAAATGTTGAAATGTCTTCATAAAAAAAATACTAAATGTTTTAATATTTGGCAAAAAGTGACTTGTGTAATTTCTGTAAATTATACTTGTTCTAAAGAAAGGTATAATGCCTAATGATACATTATTTTTAAACCAGCGTTTATCATTAATCCCTCACTTGATTTTTTTCATTGACCTAATGATAAATCTATAAATTTTCAGTTTCCAATGTAGTTAACTACATCTATCCAACTACCTGATGATTATTCATGGCTTCCATTAAAATACAAACAAGTTCACAGCAAGTTCATTGAGGATAAACCGGAATAAAGTGTCGATTTACAGCTATTAAGCATCTCATCCTGATATTAAGATGAACTTACTGAACTTAGGAGAATTAAAGTGGCCTTTGCTAATAAAGACTGATTTAACTGTACTGTTTTTCTCGATTATAAATTCTTAGTTTTCCCCTGCGAGCGCGGGCTCCGAAGCGCCAGCCTCGCCGGCCCGCGCGGCACGGCCAGGAGCGCCAGGACGGACGGGCGCCGCCGCCGGCTTTCGCCCGAGTTCCGTGTTTGCTCGGTACTGTAACTGGAAGAGCAGAGCGAACTCCGGGTGCTGCGCAAACCTCCGCTCTCGGGACGCCTTTGTTAATGTGACCCGCACATGAAGGGCCCGGCCCAGTACGCACCCTCGCGCCTCGCTGCGGGCCTCTACCCCGGCGCCCGAAGGGCGCTGGGACGGCCAGAGGGTCGCATGCCGGGGGCCGCGGAGCCAATGGGCGGGCACGCCTGGCCGGCCCGCCGACCCCAGGATTGGCACCCGCGGCCAGGGTCTTGCGCCCCCATTGGCTCTCGGTGGCGGTGGGCTTCCACCGCCGGGAGGCAGGGGCTTGGAGGGCGGGGCAAGGGGCGGTGACTGGCGTGTCCGTAGGCCCCGCCTCTTCCGCTTCTCCGGCCTGACCTTCCTGCCGCTGGGCCTTCTGACAGACCCGACATTGCCGTTTCTCTCGATTCGGTCCGACGCGCCCCCCTCTATCGCGACATCATGGTGGCCTACTGGCGACAGGCTGGACTCAGGTAGGCCCTGGACACACCCGCATGGCCCCGTGTCTGGAGGGCGCCGCGGGGGCGGTGGGCCCCGCGTGGTCGCCTGCTGTCGCCGGCGTCCCGGTGTTCGGCGCCGCCGCCAAGATGGCGTCAGTGTGGCCAAGGCGCGCGGGCCCGGGGCCGCTTCCTGCCCGAGCCCGGGGCCCCAAATAAAGTGCACTGTGACCCGCGTGTACCCGAGGAGGGTCTGCCTCTGGGATTGTGCCTGGTTGCTAGGAAGGCGACACGGAGCCCATAACCCGGGACAGGGCCGCACGCTGTGCGTCCCGGGCCGCTGTGAGCATTCGAGGCCACCCCACGCACGTGGAGCCCTCGTCACGTTGCACGCACGCTCATGTCCAGCGCGTCCCCGTGGGCTCGGGCCAGCGGTGACCGGCGTTGGCCCCGGGGGGCGCAGGGGCGCCCTGCGAGCACCCGAGCGCGGCGCTGCCCCGGCTGGAGGCGGAGCCCCCGGGTGGCCCCCAGGCCCGGCCTTGGGGTTCCCGCCGGTCCCGTCCGAGCCTCGCGGGGCGCGCGCACCCCACCCGCCCGTGCATGTCGCGGGTGGGCAGTCAGGCTGCAGCCGCGCGGCCCGGAGGCCGCCCACCCCGAGTGGGAGCAGGCGGGAGCCACACCTGTGACTCCGGAAGCAGCACCCACCTCCTCTCCTGCCCTGTTTTCAGAAAATGGGGAACGTAATGTGGGGTTTTGTTTTTTTGTTTTTGTTTTGAGGAAAATAAGGATGCAGAGAGTCCATCACCAAACAGGAAGCAGGCTGATATTTGGATAGAGTGGAGAACCAGTTTTATTTAGAAACCTTGATTAGAAAGTATTTTAAATGGCAATCTTGTAAGACACAATCCATTATTCTCAAAAAAGCGTTTAACTTTCCAGAGAAAGAAATGCTATGATTCAGACTTTTTTCTTTTAATTATACATACCTTGCTTTGTAAGAATGGAATAATTAAAGGAAAAATGGAGAAATGAGGGGGATCATTCATGTTATTAACATTTTGGTCTCTTTCATTTGCTGTGGGTATTTTTTTTAATATTCATTTTTAAGTTATACACTGCAGAAAAATGTAGCACCAAGAAGACATTCAGGACCACCTACCCAAGCACTAGCTAATACTTTGCCACATTTCTTTTTAATCTTTTTTCTTTGTATAGATTCTTTTTTGGTATTAGTAACTTTTAAAACTAGTTTTGTAATAACGTACAACCAAATCAAAATTTAAAATACAGAAAAACAAGAACAAAGAAACAGTTGTCTGGTGAGATTTGGGTATAAATGATTAACATTGCATCTTTCATTGTCTTCCAGCTACATTCGATACTCCCAGATCTGTGCTAAGGCAGTGAGGGATGCCCTCAAGACAGAATTCAAAGCAAATGCAGAGAAGACTTCTGGCAGCAGCATAAAAATTGTGAAAGTGAAAAAAGAATAATCAGTAAGTTACTGACTTGTTTAGAAAAATTATGTTTTATGCCTTTTAATTTTGTTTATGGACTAACATGAGTAAGCAGTCATAGAGGGAGACAGAAAAGACAAATATGAGTACTAACTCTTCAAAGTGCATATTGGGATTAAATAAATACAGTTCTACTTGAAGCTGTTTTAGTTCTAAATTCCTTTTTTCTTTTTTTTTTTTTGTTTATTAGTAGATGTTTATAGTACATGATACATTCACTGTAAGAGATTGGTGCATTTTTATAACATAGATTCATTTAGAAAGTTGATTATACAGAAAAGTTGTAACACAGGTTCATTTAGAAAGCTAATTATCACATATCCAGGTTGAAAGCCAGACTAATAGGTCAAAGATCATATAAAAGTTGGAAGATAATTGTATAGAAAAATTGCATTTAAAGTTTTTAGAGCACCATAAAAATCAAACTACTTTTAGCTTTGAGTTCTGTCCATTTTTTTAATCAGTGCATTTCAAAGCTAGTTATTGAGGTAATAATTTAAAGCACACAGGTTATAGAAGTCTCTTGACATGATAAAAGAATGTCCTTTCAGGCCCTGACAACCGGAAGTAACAGGCACATTGATTTTCCTTTCATTTAACAATGCTTAGGTAGAGAGTCATCTTACTTTAATTAAACCTGTTTCATTTGCACAAAATCAAATGATTTGGAGGAGAAACTCCCCACTTTGGTAATTGCTATTAGAATTACATAATAGTTCAGGAGCATGAAAAACTGAAGTTCTTTACATTTTTTATTTCCCCCACATCTGCTAATGTCCTCACAAATCATTACTTCCGGAACATACGGCTGCAGTTACAGGCAAGGATCCTGCTATTTTATCAAGCAAACCCTTGCTATTTTATCTGCAAAACCCTGCAGAGAATCCTGTTTTGCTAAATTTATTTGTGCTTTCAGAATGTTTAGTTCATTTTACTTCTGCAGAGATGTTAGTAATATGAGTTACATCCTCATGCAATAAAGACGGTTCTGTACAAGTTGATAAGTTCAGGCTGTTTGTGCTCCCAACTACAAAAGTGATTTGCTCTCCCAGCAACTCTCTTGATATTATTTCAAAGACAAGGAAAATTATTGGAGATGAGGTGTTTTTCAGATTTAACTTTCTTGTTTTGCTTTTAAAATAAGCTTCAAATTTGCAGTGCACAGAAATGTGATAAATATTAATTCTTTGGCAGCTTGTGGTTTTGAGCAATTTTATACTTATTGGAACTGTCTGCCCTCAGCACTTTTCATTTTGAATTAGTAAATATTTTATTACTAAGCCTAGAGATGTGCTGTTTTGAATTTAGCCCCCTTTTTAGGGGTCCTCTGTCCAGTCTCATCATTCTTGGTTCTGGGACCTGGTTTGATGTTGGATTGTTGTGTTGCAGCTGTGAGCCCACGGAGAGCATTGCTCCGGCTCTCTGCAGTGGTACGGTGCCAGACACTGCATCTGACTCGTGTCTGTGGGGTCAGCCTGCAGACAAAGTATTGGTCCCTCTTATACACTGTGGCAAGGGGCTCCCTTCCCCTGATTAGCATAGGGGGATTTTAGTGTCTTTTAAAGGCAAAATCGGGTGTTTTGGGTTTTTTTTTTTTTTTTTTTTTTTTTTTTTTTTGCAAGGACAGGGACATTTTATTAACCGGGAAAGTACGTCCTCAGCCGAAGCTGTTCCTACTGCCAGCCAAGGCTCTGACACACCCTTGTGAATGCAGCCACAGTTGTTACAGTTCACTATAAGGAAGTTATTTCTTATTCTTGGTGGATGTTTAAAAAAACACAAAGAACCAGCTGGCAACTATTGCATTTTCTTTTTTTCTTCCCAGACCCTGGCTAGAGCTTGAAATGCTACATTTTCACCACGAAGATCTGTGGGTACATGTCATGGCAGATTGAAATGCATGTCGCTTCGTTGGGGGGGAAATACCTATCTTATTCATAAATTAATGATGCTAATAAACTGATGTGTGGTTCACTGTTACTGCTGGCTTTTGTTTTCTGTTGGAACTTTCTGTATAGAAGCTACCTGCAAAACTGCTTGGTGAGAACCCTGTGAGGCAGGGCTCTGCAGAAAGGGGGAAGGAATGTGATATTTAATGATTTAATGACCACGGGGGGTGGGGGGACAGAAAACATTATTTAAATGTTTCAAAATAGAAATTCTGTTTCCTTTGACTTTACTTGATGATCAAAATTAGACACTGTTACTGAGGCTTTGCATTACTGAGTCACATAGAGTAGTTCTGTCCTATTCCACTAGCCTCCTCGTACATCTTCACCTTTAAGTAACACTGATTAGTCAGTAACCTAAATGAGAGTAATTACTAAAAGCACATATTAAAGAACAATTGCTAAATTACAATTTAATAATCATAGCCCTCTCTTTATTATGCAGCTAAAATCTGTAGAGAAGAACTAGTAACATGAGAGCTTATGCACAGAGTGCCTGTCACATTGACTTTTACAGCCAGACCTTGTCCTGGAGCATTTCTCATAGGAAATGAGGCAAAGCTCGTGAACATCTTGCTTACTGAGTTGATAACTAAGTTAAAATCTGAGATGTTTGCAGGTCTGTAGGACAATGACTAGAACAATTCTGTGGTGTTTGAGTAACCATTTAGAATTGCTGGAAGTGTGTTTACTTTTCAAACTTGAAGGCTTTTGACTAAGTAGAATACTGCAAAGTTAATTGCACATTTTAACTTTTCAGAGAATGCAGAAATGACTAGAAACAGGAATTTTCGAACATTTCTACAACCAGTTCTTTGCATGGTACTTAAGCTCACAGTAACTTATCAGGGCTGAAGGATGTCGTGCTCCGCTGTCTGGGGATGACTCCCTGACACTTGATCTACAGGTTTCCGTGAATTCCCAGCACAGCACACAAAGAAGCAGCAGATAGACTCAGTCCGCCAGACGGCGGCAAGTCAGGAGACCCCAGGTCGCCTTGGCATGGCTGTTGTCCTGCTCGCAAGTTAAAGCACCAGAGTTACAGCCACAGTCCTGAGATTAAGGTACCAAACAGTAGCTTCCGGGGAGTAGGAATAAATGATTTCCAAGACTATAGGGATTTTTTAATACCAAAGGCCCTAATAGGCAAAGGATAAATTATGTTTCCAACCAAGTAATTGGAGAGAAGTCATTTATTAGGGGAGCAGATGGGATGGCTGGAGGTGAGATTTGGGGACAGGGCTTGTGGTATGAAAAGGATGAAAGTAACTGAATAAAGACAAAATTTACACCATCCAGCAGAGATTCTTTGAGACTCTCTGACTTAAAAAATAAACCCCAAGCCAGTCCTGTGATGAAATAGACTTCTGCAACTGGCACCCAGGCATGTGCAGGGCAGCTGCACAAATGAGAAGACCCCGGTCACGCCGAGTTTGGGACATTTTGCTAATTAGGGGGATTTTAGTTAAGGGAGCCAGTTAATCTTTCTCCTCATGTAGGGTGTTTGTGTGTGAGGTAAAGGAATCGGACAAACTAAAACTCGGTAATCCTGCTCTCAGTCTCCCAGAGACCACTGTTGCCATAGTAACCATACCACTGAAGGAATAAACTCTTCAAAATCAAGGAGAGACTTCTCGGGGCTTCTAGTCTGTTTTAATCTGTTTGTACCATTCAAAAGAAGGATGGTGAGATGCATTTTGAAATACTTTTAACTAAAGTTAATCGGTCTGGGTAGATTCTGAGAAAAGGAATTTAAAATGAACCGATTCAGCCATTTAAAATTGAATTTCTTTTTACTTTTAATGAGTACTATTGAGCAAACAAAAGTCTTTACAGTAATATAAGTCAGTGTAACTTTTTAGAAATTTTAAATCATATCTTTGCATCTGTGTAATTGCCTTTTTAAATTTGAGAAGGAAAGTGCCAGAGATATGGATACATTCTTAGCTAACCACAGCTTGTCTTTTTAGCACCTAGGGAAGTTAGTGCAACTAAGAGTATATAGATGCAATTTCTTACTAAATCTAGTGCTGTTTAAGATACAAAGTATTTATAACATTACTTTGTGCTTGTTTAACTTGGTTAATAGAAAGTTTCTCTGTGAGACCCACAGCAAGGCCTAATTCTCTCTTGATATGCATGTGTTGGTTCCTCATGAAACGCATTTGAAAAGAGTGAACTTTTTCAAAATAAGCAACTGATCTGTCCACCTGTTACTGTATTGCTGATTACAAAAGCAAATTAGGACATGAGACCCTAGTTGCCTTCAAATAAGGAGCAGTTCTGAAGTGAGGGCCAGAGTATCTTCGGTACTCTGTCCACAGAGCAGGTGCTCATTGGAGACGGCCATCCAGACCCTGGTGCTGCAAGGGGCAGTAGCCCTGCAGAACTAGGTAAATCACCATGAAGAAGTTAGGGATGATTTGATTACCCTCTCGTGTGTCTGGTCCTGTTGTAATGTGAGCAGATTAAAATCCTGTAATAGTTAAAGCTGTGTCATCTTGCAAACATTCATGGCAGCTTGTGCAAATTAATTTGAACTGTCGAAGTGCCCTAATGAGATGATGGCCTCCATCACCGAGAAGGACACTGTGGCCGTTGCTGCCTGATTTCCTGCATTTGAGTGGTCCCTGAGTGCACTGTTCGCTGTCTCAGCACAGAGGCCCCAGGGCACAGGTGGGGATGGGAGGGGATTGAAGGGAACATGATAAGAATGTTTCCAGATCCCCTTTAAAAGCAAAACCAAAGATGATGATTAATGGGTTTCCAGAATCTAATTCTAACAAGAAATGAAAATATTCTGAAAACTGTCAATTCAGAAAGAGTATTTTCCAGTGGATTGGAGCCATTTCGTGTTGTCCGTCTTGTCTGGCTGTTCATTTCTTGGCTGGGATTTCTGTGGAGAGGGCTGTGGCCTTTCGCTCCTCCCTTTTCCCTTTGCAGTTAGTGTGCCCAGTGGTCCCCAAATCTGCACAGTCACCTGCGGGACACTTCCCTCAGGGCTGCAGCTCCCACGTGCTGGGCAGCACCTGGCTTTTCTGGAGGCTGCAGGCCCCCAGGCAGTGTGTGTGAAGAAAAGGAGGTTGACGGGAAGTCACCTGTCGAGCTGATGCTAGAGGTGAATGTCAACTGTGCAGCTCCCTGAAAACCCCTCACACAGGCCGCACCTCGGTAGTACTCAGAAATACAGGCAGGATTGCACGGGAAATCCACTGTGCTGCTACAAAGGGAGATTAGTGGGGTGTGCAGTGCACATCAAAGCTGTGTGGTCAGTACCTGGGCAGAGACCCCGATGCCCTCCCACCCCATCCCCCCAGCAGGGCTGCAGCACAGGGCAGGCTTCAAGCGCTGCAGGAGGGACGGGAGCCTGGAGGGACCCTCACACCCCAGGCTCCTTTTCTCCCACTTCCCTCCCAGCCTCCTCCACGACCTCTCCATTTCCCTCCAGAACGGCTTTGGCGTCTTGAAATTGTTGGTACTCGGACACCAAGTCGTGGATGTTACCTTCAGCTTCCCGGAATTCACTTATGTCCATCCCCTCACTGGTGTACCAGTGCACAAAAGCTCGCCTTTTGAACATGGCTGAGAAGTGCTCGGAAACCCTGTTGAAGAGCTCTTGGATGGCTGTGTTGTTGCCTATGAAGGTGGCTGCCATGTTCAGCCCCCGCGGTGGGATGTCACAGACGGCCACCTTGACGTTGTTCGGGATCCACTCTACAAAGCTGCTGCTGTTCCTCATCTGCACAGACAGCAGCTGTTGGTCCACCTCTTTGGTGGACATCTTGCCCCGGTAGATGCAGGCCACAGTCAGATAGCGGCCACGGCGTGGGTCACAGGCAGCCATGGTATTGCGGGCATCGAACATCTGCTGGGTGAGCTCAGCTACAGTGAGGGCCCGGTACTGCTGGCTGCCCTGGGCTGTGAGCGGGGCGAAGCCGGGCATGAAGAAGTGCAGGCGAGGGAAGGGCACCATGTTCACGGCCAGCTTGCGCAGATCTGCGTTGAGCTGGCCGGGGAATCGCAGCGAGGTGGTGATGCCACTCATGGTGAGGGACACCAGGTGGTTGAGATCGCAGTAGGTGGGCGTGGTCAGCTTCAGGGTGCGGAAACAGATGTCGTAGAGCGCCTCGTTGTCGATGCAGAAGCAGGCGTCCGCGTTCTCGATCAGCTGGTGGATGGACAGCACGGCGTTGTAGGGCTCCACCACCGTGTCGGACACCTTGGGCGAGGGCATGACACTGAAGGAGTTGAGGATGCGGTCCGGGTACTCCTCCCTGATCTTGCTCATGAGTAGCGTGCCCATGCCCGAGCCCGTGCCCCCGCCCAGCGAGTGGACAATCTGGAAGCCCTGCAGGCAGTCGCAGTTCTCGCTCTCGGCCCTCACCACGTCCATGACAGTCTCTATCAGCTCGGCCCCCTCCGTGTAGTGGCCCTTTGCCCAGTTGTTGCCAGCTCCAGAGTTACCTGCGGTGGGAAGGTGAAAGGAAGGAGAGGTGAGGCGAGAAAGGCGCCACTAGGCGGCATCCTGCGCCCTTCAGGGGGAACCTTCTGGAGAGACGCACCGTGCACAAAGCTGTCTGGTTGGAAGAGGGCTCCTAATTTGCTGGATCGGATGCTGTCCATTGTCCCGGGCTCCAGGTCCACCAGCACTGCTCGGGGCACGTACTTCTTACCTGAGCAGAAAAACAGGAAGAAGTCAGCAAACTGTGGTCTTTCTAAAAGTTAATGTTTCATCAAAGTGGGCCCTTGTGATACTGGTCTACACAGAACAGGTATTCTAGCAAGTCCTCCTTGTCTCCTGGACCCCGACAGCAATCACACAGACCTATAAAATGCCTTCCGGAGGAGCTTTTCCCTCGTTGCGCCTGAGTGTGGTTATCGGGCTGTGCCCGTAGGGGCTCCCCGCACAGCCCTACGCCCTGCCTGTCCGCCTGTGCCTTTGCCACTGGGTTTGCGCGAGTCTCACTTCTCTGCCCGACGCCAACCCTACCGTAGGCTTCATTGTAATACACGCTGATTCGCTCCAGCTGCAGGGCGGTGGCCCCGCGGTCGCTCCCGCTGTAGTCGATGCCGTGTTCCTCGCCGATCATCTCCCAGAACTGAAAGTAGGCACAGAGAGGTCGTGCAGAGCGGGTCCCACCGTCCCACCATCCACACCCACAGAGCTAGCAGGCTCGGCCCTTCCCACAGGGCCTGCCTCGCCCTCCCCTGCCGGCATGCTTCTTCCTTGGCACAAAGGACCAGGGAGGGTACAACTCACTTTCTCCCTCCACAAGTGTGAACATAAAGACTGCATTTTCTACCCACCCGAACTCCTGAAGTAAAATGTCAAACACATAAAATATTCAATTAGATCTTTCTCCTATTAAATGCAAGCCATTACACACATTAAAACTGTCATCTTAGAACTTGACATCAGACAGTGTATCTCTAGTTTTGCCTTGTAGTGCTCCAAGCTGGTGAAGTGTAGATCCCATTAAGTGAAAATAAACTGAATTCTTATCTGCTTTTACAATAGTTCCTCGTTTCACTTTGGGGATTTCTTTTCATGAGTTTTTCCAAAAAGCACATAACCAGGACCTCTGCAGGATTTTAAGCAATTTTGATTATCAAGCATACCCATAATTAAAAGTTGTGTGTCGCTGTTGTCTTACAACAGTTTGCAACATACCACCTGCAGTGTTTATTAATGCAACTGTGTGTCGGGCTCCTAATACGGAAGCAGTTACTGAAGTGACCCTTTTGATCGCATATTAAAGTGCAATGAAAATGTATTCACTGGTGTCAAAATCCCAAGTGTATTTTTCCAACCATATCTTACACGGGACACCTCTGCTCTGGCCATGGTCTTGGTAATAAAGCTCTGTTTTATACCAAGATGCCAGCACGGTTCAGCTGTAGAAGAGTAAATAAATTCGACATTGAAATTCAGAGACGCCGCAAATGAAATGTATCTTACAGTTGTTATGTGCCCCAATAAGAAGTCATTCTGGGGCTCAGCTATGAGGCAGCACAGTCCTGGAGCGAAAGTCAGCTCCTATCTCCACCATGCACTTCCTGTCCAGGGAAGTCCACGTTATCTTTCCATGGCAGAGTAGGGAGGGACTTGTCTACGGCCTCCCTGCGTGTTAACTCCGAACATTTGTCACTGTGTTGTGCAAGGGTGACAGCTGCTTTCCAAGCAGTGAGATTCTTTACCCCATAAAGTTACAAGACCTGCCCTGACAGACCTTGCGTTTTCCTGGCAGGACCATTCACAATAGGCAAGAGCGGACACAACGCACACGTCGGCCCTGGTGAAAGGGTGAGCGCCGAATGGTGCCTGCATTCACGGAACACTGCTCAGCCTTAAAACAGGGTCTGGTGTCTGCACCCCAACGTGGTGGAGCCTGGGCGACGTCATGCCACTTGCCCTAAGCCAGTCTCAAAGGGAGGGCCTAGCACCGGTGACCCACTGAGCGGAGAGCTCGCACATTCCTGGAGAGAGCAGGGACCACAGCGGCGGAGTCCAGCTCCGTAAAACGAAAGCCCTGTCAGACTGGATTAAAACACAATGAATGTCCTCAACACTACTCAACTACACAAATCTGGTGCAATATGGAACTCAAGACCTCACACTTGCCAGGCAAGCGCTTATTCCACTGACTAAATCCCCGACCCAATACACTGTGTTTGAACATGTCCTTCCTCAGGGCTGGGGATCTGGCTGAGGGCACAGCGCCTCTTGGCGAGTGCCACGTCGTGAGTAAGACCTTCCTTTTTAAGGCTGCATCGTACCCCACTGCACGACAGACAGATGCGTTTCGGGTACCAGTCACCCGCTGGAAAGGTTCCTTCTTCCTTTGCGCTATTAGGAGGCATATTGCTGGGGAAATAGTGAAGCTCTTCCCCTACAGGTGTGTTAGGCTCTACTTTTAATGCGGTTCATGTTAGCAGAATAGCAAATTTCAGAATTTCAGCAAAGTGAACAGTTTAGGTAGGTGTCACAAGATACTCTGTTCAAGTTAAAACTAGGACCGGAGGTCTTAGGCTCTAGCACCCTTGGGTGCTCACCAACTACATCAGATACTTGGAAGAAAAAGTTAAGCAGGAGGGCACAGGAAAGACAGCTCAGGTACACCTCGAAGGCTGCGCTTTCATTATTTCTGCCACTGCACAAAAACTTTATTTTGGGTTTTCTTCCTGAATTTTTTTACATACTAAATGAAACAATAATTTTTCTTTTCTGTGTAACATAAACATGGGGATGGGAAGAAAAAGACCGTGTTGCCAGGCCCAGAGGCGCGCATCTGTAATCCCAGCACGCGGGAGGCTGAGGCAGGAGGACTGCTTCATGTGTGAGGCCAGCCTGGGCTACAAAGTGAGTTCAAGGCCAACCTGAACTACAGAGCGAAAAGGTATAAAAAACTTCCTGACAACCAAAAAAATCTTTTGAGATAAATTATTATTTTTTAGATATGAAAGATGATAAAGTAAAACAATTGACATGTGTACCAAACACATGGAACCTGTGACAACAGTAACATTAATGAATTGACCTTTTGAATTTTTAATAGTTCCCGTATCTATGTAACTAAAGACCTTGTAATAAACAGTGTAACGTGCGCACCCCTTCCCTGCTGAGCTGGGGTTTCTTTGGCTGCAGTGGCCTGGGGGCCTTGGGAAGCTGGCCCGGGGCTCACAGTCAGGCTTTACCTACCTTGGCTCCTATCTGGTTGCCACACTGGCCAATCTGAATGTGCACGATTTCCCGCATCCTCACTTTCGCTCCAAGGTAAGATCTTTGTGAAACGCTCAGTCTCTGCGGAGGGCACTGTTCTCCAGATGTGAGCTCCTTGTAGGAGTGCCTGCAGGTCCGGGAGCAGCTGCCCAAGCTGCCCTCCTGCAGCCCTAAGGGTGTGTCCTGCCCAGAGTCCAGCCCAGCGCTTCCCTGCCCCTCCTTGTCCCCTTCTAAGGGGGTGCCTTCCTCTCCCAACGACAGAATAGTGCCGCGTCATTTCCTAGTGTGAGCGCAAGACCAGCGGTCAACCTTGCATGGTGGCCAGAGCCAGTAGTGTTCACAGGCCCTGCCATGGTGGCCTCCGGCGCTGGCTCTGGCTGTGACGCCCAAGTGTGATAGTTGAGCCTGGCTCCCCATTCACCTTGTCTCCCCATTCTGAGCGCACATCTCACCTAAACCTATCTCACCTAAACCCATCACGACCTGTCGCCTCAGCCGTGTTTCCGAAGGAGCCCTTTGAAAGCCCCTAGTGGCACCGAGGTGACGGTGAGGAACATGGTGGACAGTTTCTATTTTTAGGTCATAAACTCTAATGTCGATAGAAAAATAATAAGTACATATAATAACAAAATCATGCGAGAAAGTTGCCTTTTTGAACTTTACTTTTGCAAGTTGTGAGGGTGACATCGATTCTTAAGGGCCAAGATGCCACCAATAGGAGAGACCCCCAAACTCCACCGCCTGGCATCCGGGCCTTCCCCACTGGGTGTGAATGTCCCCCCAACCCCTGTTCTAGATGTCGGTCCTCAGAAGTGCAGTGCTATGACATGGCCAGAGAAACTGTCCCAGAGACTTGGACCCCAGCGCAGCGTGACACGGGACCCAGAGCCAGAGCCCTTCAGGTCCTGGCCTTTTGTCCTGCCTGGACCAGGGGCCTTGGCCTCAGCATTGGAGCCAAGCCCTGTGCCCTTGATCTCCACAGGTCAGACTGAGCTCCAGACTGAGCCAGGGTACCCAGCAGTGCACCCTGATCCTCGCACAACCCCGCAGAAGGGAACAGGGCTGCTCTGATGGGTAGTGCTGGGCCTCATCAGCGTTCAGTCCCTGACCTGAGCATGGACTGATAGTCCTGTCCCCAGTGAATTTCTTCACCACAAGTGCAAATCCTTATGTCCAGGAGATACCACACCGTGCCCCCCTTCAGGGTCCTGCTCTTCCCATGCCAGCAGCTTGCCGGGACCATCGCAGCAGCACGATGCATGTGGACAGAGCCCCTGGCAAATGCAGGAAGACCAGCACCAGGGGTCTGCTCAGAGCTGCTTCGAGATCGGCGCTTTCTCGGTGTTTCTGTGGGCTTGGGATTTAGTTCCACGGGAATCTGAATGACCACATGATTCAGAGGCTTCTGCTCTGCACCAAGGGAATGAACAGGAGGAGCTGTGACCTCGGGAGGAAGCAACACACCGGGAGGACCAAGGCGTTGCCGGAAGTGAGCCTGTGCCTGGACCCTGGCCTGCCCCACGCCGGCAGGGTGGGGGCCCTGTTCCCTCCCCCACGTGCAACGATTCCTGTCTTCCAGACCCCCACAGCTCGAAGGCAGCTTCATGGCGACCTTGCCGGAGTCTTTCCCACTCCGCATGCTCAGGACAAGGCCCCGGAGCCCCAGGTGGTCCTGTTTGCTAATCGCTTCTACACATGCCTTATCTCCCCCAGCCCCATCACCTCGGGGTCCCCAAAGTGCCCAGTGCATAACAGGGCCTCAGCAAATGTTTGTTGAGTGCACATCAACAGCTGGGCGAGTTTGAGCAGCGATGGTCAGCAAGTTTTCTTAAAGCCAATAATGTATTTCTTCCAGACCGTGACCTCCCAGTGGTCAGAGGGGGACGTAGTATCCAAGGACTTTCCCCTGCATCCCCTAAGAGGTAGTCTAGGCTGAAAGCAGAAACTGTTCCAAGAACCCTGGTCCGGGGAAACAGCCACAAGTGAGCTATTATAGGATGCCATGGCCACGGTGGCCCCCGCCTCGGAGAAAGCAGCTGAAAGGGACCGGTGTAGCCACACTCTGGCTCGTGGTGGGGACCACTGGCCGGGCTGGAGGGCATTTTTGATCTCCCTGTGCTCATTCCCCGCGGTATGAGCAGGACCCAGTGTGCGGCCCCACCACCTGGCACATTCCTCTTGCCGTCTCAGTTTGCTTAGGGAGGAAGAGGCCAGGTTTCCAGATGGGTGCTTAAAAGGCTTTTCTGTTAATGGGGCAGTTGGCAAAAGCGGGGAAAGTGAGGCCCTGTTTGCTTTGATTCCTGTATCGCCAGCAGTGTTTACTCAGTCTCAGCCGGGTGCTGTGCTTCAAACAGGGGGCTGCGACAGGACCAGGCAGGGCAGAGCCCGGCTGGGGGAGCCCGGTCCCTTCACCAGGGGCCCCGTCTCCTCCCCAGCGCTGACCTTCCAGTGTAAGGTGGGGTAACGGTCTGTCTCCAGGACTGAGCACCAGAGGGTGACCCCGGCGTGCCGTGCGGGGAGGATACTGCAAGGCAGCTCCATAGCACAGAGGGGATAATGGCCGTCTGTGCGGACGGCCCAGCCTTTCCACACCGTGAACAGAGGCTCCTGCTCAGGCTTCAGACCTGTGCGGGCGGAGATGCTGAGTCTCAGTGCCGGGGAAGAGCCCTGGTTGGAAATGTTGTGCATTGGGAAGCAGTCAATCCTGCCTGGCCCTTTTCCTTACTGTGAAGGCACCTGTTCCCCAAGGAGGGACTCTCTGATTCCCAGCGTGGCACAAGCTACTGAAGTGCTGAATAGATCATGCCGCGCCCTCTGACCACAGAAGTGGCCTCTTGTCGGGAAACGGATGAGCGGGGCCCCGGGGGGGGCCTGCGTCACCCCAGTCTGTGCCCCTGCCAGGCTGAAGGTGACCCCGAGTCCTGCACTGTGGCAGATGATGAGAAGTGGCTATCTGTGATGAATGACAAACTTGTCCTCTGCCCCCAGAGGGGCACTGTGGCAAAGGCAGGTGAACAGTGACAGCACTCACGGGCAGAGCTTCACCTGACACTGCCAGGAGGGCAGAGGACAGGGCAAGGCTCATCTCAGCACATGTGGGGGGCGACCCAGAGGCTTCTGCCGAGACCCCGAGACTATTACCCAGGTCCTGCAGCCCCGTCACAGCTCGGGATCCACAAGAAGACTCGGCGGCAGCAAGCCTTTCCTGGATGACACTCGGGTCTATTATGGGACTGGGGCCAAGAAGATAAGAAAAGCCGCGTGTCACCCAGAAGCCCCAATCGGCAGCTTCCAGACTTCCCCCGGGAGCTGTCCCTGGGAGGAAGTCGGATGGGCCCCCTCACGTGGCAAATGAAATGTAATGGGAGAAAACAGAGCACTCGGAGTTCATTGATTTCATCCGCCCCGATCTTCCGCTTCTGAGTACACTGAAGTTCTTGAGTAACTCTGAGAAGATTGTTGAATTACCGTGTTTGCTTGTGATTCAGAAGCAGAACGTTTTCCGAAGGCCTTAGCATGGGAATGACATCTGAGGGCCACTCTGAGTGACTCAGCGGTGTGGGCAGCCCCGTCCTCCAGCTGAGCTCCACTTTCTTGGACTCTGCCTCCTCGTGGCTTCTCTTCCTGGTAGAGAAAGTTCTGGGGGGATGAATAAGTAACCTGAAGAGGAGCGGGGCTGGGAGGACATTGATGCTTCTCAGGAGTCCAGGTTCCCTGAAATGCCTGTGGCACTTGAACCACTGCTGGTCACCCCTGTCCAGCCTGCAGCACCAGCCTGGAGCTGCCTGGGCATCCCTTAGTACCTTGACGACAAGCCTCCTAGGCTGTGCCATCTCTGACTTACACACTCACACTCAACTCACACTCGGACACAACCACGTGGGCCCCGTCTGCTGTGATTCTGCAGGTGACAGATGCGCCAGCCTTGTCGGTGGCCTCTTCCCCATCTCCCAGGTGCACAGCTACTGATAAGTGAGTTCCCTGGCAGGGACAGAGATAAGCACCTGGAGACAAACTCAAACAAAAATACTTCATACCCCATATTTGTCCAGGAACTCTGTTGTGTGAGTCGCTGAAATGCATTTATTTGCCCAACAAAGATTAGCTGAGCACCGTTTCAGGGCATCAGTAGACCTCAACAGAGTGAAAACATGGACTGCCCAACAGGGCTGCGGAGGGGGACAGGAATGCTGGAGCCATCCTACAGTTTGCCAGGACTGCATACCACACCACCACTGCCACCGTTATACAAGTAAGGGTCTCTGTGCCTGCCAGGAGCAGAGACTCTGCTCAGGGGAGAGTCTGCAGACCCCACCCTCCAAGGTGCCAAGCGGCAGCATGGCCCCAGGATCTTTGAGTGCCCACGGTGATCCCCTGTCCACCTTCTGGCATCTCCATGCCTGTCCAATGGTGCTCTTCCCCCACTGCATCAGCGGTCCCCTCCACAGCTTCTCTTGAGCCAGCTGTTCCCAAGCTGCCATTAGGAGCCCTCTGTGCTCTGGAGGTGAGCGGCAGCTGGGGTGAAATCTAGATCTCTGTGGCCTTCACCACCTGACACAGAGGCGGGAAGCCCTGGGACAGCAGAAACCAGGGGCGGGACTCAGGAGGGGAGCCGGGCTGGAGCTGTGGGCCTGCTCATGGGAAGGGGCCCGGGCCCCTGTGACGTGGCAGAAAGCAGCAGCTGACCCTCTGTAGCCTGGTGGCCTGCAGAGACGCCCATGGCACTTCAGGTCTTCCGGAGCCTCCCTCCCCGGGCTTGGGCATCCCTGTTCCCTCTGCGTGTTCTATGCCCATGGCCTCCTCATTCCAGCTGCAGGCTACCGAGGAGAACGGTCCTGGCCAGACTGTCCAGAGGCCCCCAGTCATGAGGGTCACCTGTTTTCCCAGCTCCAAGCACGTTCAACTTCCTGGGCTCCTTTCCAAGTTCCTTCAGTAGAACTTAAGCTCCTCACGCACAGCCAGGGCCCTGTTCAGTTGCTGCATCTCCAGATCTGAAAGCCGAAATCCGGCACCCAGGAGATGCTCCACAATATGTGCCAGGGGCAAACACGCCCACCAGGGGAATGATGGGGCACCCTTAGATGTCATGGGGATCAGGGATGTAGCTCAGCAGCACAGCGCCTGCCTGGCAAGCACGAGGTCATGAGTTCAATTCCCAGTACCAGAAAAAAATAAAAAGATGTCATGGGCAGGCTCCTAGCTCTGGAGGGGACAGTTATGACACAAACCTTGTGGCTGGGCCCCCGAGGGACTGCGTTCATTCCCAGCACGTGCCCACGGCCGGCCACAGTGCACCCAGCCTGGGGCCAGTGGCAAAGTCGCCTGCAGACCTGAGCTCCCTATTGGAAGGCCTTCTTTGTCTGGGCATTCAGGAGTTGGCATGAGCTTCTGCCCATCGATCCTGGAGGGTAAAAAGGAGCTAGGCGGCTGGTGAGGAAACCACCTTGCCCTGCAAAACCAACCAGCCTGTAAGGAACACTGTCAAAACAAACGCCGTATCCAGGATGTGGCTCAGCTCGGGAATGTGGAGGAAAAGGAGATGTCTGCAGCTCGCAGGGTAGAAGCCAGTGGTGCAGCGTGAAGGCTGTTCAGCATCTTTCCCCTCAGGCCGGGAAGGTGGGTCGGCCCTGACCTGACTAAAAAATATGTGTTGTTCTTTGTAAGAACAAGGGGAAAAATCAACTGTATTTTTAGAAATGAATAGGCTTTTGTGTCTGTGGCCTTGGACCATGCAGTTTGCCAAGAGACTTAATGGGCTATCAAAAAAAAAAAATAGGATTAGACTCATCTGTTTTCAGGATTCTCATGCTAAGTACAGCTCTCTCCGATGCTCAGTCTTCCCAACTGTAAAATGGGGTGATGGCATCTACTCCTGCCTCCCCAAGGCTGTGCCAAGGATCAAAGGAAACCACAGAGTCCTCTAAATTGTTGTCGGCTCAGCTCTGCTCCTAAGCACCCCCAGGATCAGAGATGACTCAGTTTCTTCCAAAGAGAAGAACTCGGCAGCTGGCCAGCTTCTCGGACAGAGAACTTTAGAGTGGTTTCCAGGAAGATACCGGCTCCCAAATAAATACCTGCTCACGCCACACATAAAACAGCCACAGAGAGCAGCGCCTTGGCAGGTGGGGCCTCAGAGGCAGGAGGAGGTCTCAGCCCTACCTGAGCCACCTGATTCCCCGCAGATGAGAAGGTGGGTCATGAACCACACAGTGATCTCACTAGCCCCTGAGGGTGTCAGGAGAGGACACACCTTTGCGGTTTCCAGGAGTCCCCAGGCTGCCAGGTGAGGGAGAGAGAAACTCGTCCTCTAGCACCAGATCAGGCAGAGTGGCCAGTTCTACAGGTTCCCCAAACCCGAGCCACTGGGCCGTGGGTCCAGCGACCTGCTCGTTCCACTCCATGCCGACGCAGCTCGAGAGTGGGATTCGGGGCTGGTGGGCTGGTGGGCGACTGTGTGGCCCGAGGCACCCAGGAACCCCTGCACGGGGAGTTCAGCGTCTCCCCGTGCACCTGCAGCCAGCTCTCCAAGCAGCCTGCTAGGTGGACGCAGCCCTCACCCAGAGGCCAGCTGGGAGGCGAGGGCCCCGCTGCCCACCTCGAGGGCTGAAAAGGAGGGCACTGAGGGTCGCGTCACACCACGCTCCCCCCTCGGCTCGAAATCACAGACACGAGGGACAGATCCCCTCTCACGACTGGTCCCTGGCAGTCACTCTGAGCTCTGGCTGGGAAGCCCTGGGGGGCCGCAGCTGGGATGTTTTAAACTTCAATTGCATCGATACACTGTTTTTATTTGTTGCCTTTTTGAGGTGGGGTTTCACTGTGTGCTGCAGGCTGGCCTGAACTCCCAGCGATCCTCCTGCCTTGGCCTCCCCAGTGGGATGACAGGCGTGGGCCGCCATGCCCCACGGCACACCTGTGATACACATAATGATCACATTCATTATAGGAAGTGTGCACCGGTACATGATACATCTGGATTGTGTTCCCCCATTCCGTGCCTCTCTCTTTACCCTCGTTCCCCTCACGTATTAAAGTTTTGTTTCCATTTTTCCTTTATTCTTTTTCCCTTTCTTCCCTTCCCCTTGCTTCTCCCTCATTCCCCTTCCCATTAAGCACACTTTCTTCATACTCCTCAGTATCTCTCATTCACTTCGGCCCTTATTTATTTAGCCTTTCAGCGTCTCACAGGAGAGAAACCTGAGTCTGATTTGGTCTCCAGGTGCATTCATTTACCTAGAAATGTCTCAAGTGTATCCTTTTCACGGCAGAGTAGTATTTCATTGTATATAAAAACCACATCTGTATTCACTCATCTGTTGATGGGCTGTGGGCTGTTTTCAAAATTTGGCTTTTACAAATTGAGCTCCTATAAACATGAGTATGAATACATCACTGTAGAATGATGTTTTTAATGCTTTGGGGGAAGATGCCAAGAAGGGAAATAGCTGGGTCAAATAAAACCTCTCATTTTAGGTTTTTGAGGAAACTTACACTGATTTCCACAGTGGCTACACTCCCACCAGCAGCAGAGAATCATTCCTTTTCCCTCACAGCCCTGCCAGCATTTGTTATTGGTTGATTTCTGAAAATAAACATTCTTTCTGGAGTGAGATGGAATCTCTGTGTTGCTTTAATTTGCATTTCTCAAATGATCAGAGATGTTGAACACTTTTTCACATATTTATTTGCTGTTTTTACTTCATCTGAGAAGTGTGTGTTCATCTCAGGTGCCCATTTTTGGATTGGGTCTTTAAATTTGGAGGGTCTGATTTTTTGAGTTCTTTATATATTCTAGATATTAGTCATTTGTCTGAAGAACCATTGGTGAAATTCTTTTTCTATTCTGTGAGTTGTCTGTTCACTCTGTTGGTAGATTTTTTTTTTTGCTATGCAAAAACTTTAATAAGATGAGATCCCAGTTGTTGGTTTTTTAAAATGATATTTCCTAAAAAAAATAATATTTCCTGTGTGATAGGGATTTTGATCATAAAATCTTAGCCTACACCTGTTTCTCCAAGAGTTTTACCTGTTCTAGCTTCTAGCAGATTTCGTGTTTGGGTTTTAATATTTAGATCTTTGATCCATTTTGATATTAGTACGTGGTAAGAGATACAGGTCTAGTTTTAGTCTCCAGCATGTGGAGAGCCAGTTTTTCTGGCGCCATTTATTGAAGAAGGTTTCTTTCTTCCTGTGAAGGCATCTGGCTCCTTTGTCAAAGGTCAGGTGGCTGTGGGCCTTCCCTGCACCCCCAGGGCTCTGAGAGAAGCTAAGCCTGGGACTTCCAGGCTCAGAAAGCGGGCTGTGGGTGGTCTTTGTGTTCCCTGACCCCCTGCAGTCCAGCCCTCTAATCCATGATTAACAGGGCCCAGGACACAGGGATTGTGCTCCATTCCATCTGGGTGTGGGGCCATGAAACCCTGGGGTCACATGTCCATGTTGCAACCCACGCCTGTCAGGAAACTTTCCTGGGAAGGACACCTGCTCTGAGAGCCCCCAGGCATCCTTAGACCGTCTAGGTCTCCCAGCACCCCAAGAACTGGAAGCTCTTATAACCCAGATGCATTCCCCCACTGTTAGGAATGAGAGCCCTGGACATCACCGCCCGGATGACGAAGGCTAAGTCCAGGGCAAATCCTCTCCCTGGGTCCCCGCTTCCCACACCTGGCAAGTGAGCTGACCTTCAGGTCCCCACAATCTCCCCGCTACTCTGCCTATAGTAAGTTTTCCGCGGTTTCTTTTCCCTTCTTTATTTTTCTCTGTTTCAGGTGGTTCTGGGATTGAACCTCCGGCCTCCAGTATGCTGATCACACGTTCTCTCCCTGGGCCACAAGAAACCAAGGGCGCAGCCCCTCAGTAGACCTGATCTGGGCGACAGCAGAGACCACAGAGCTGGGTATCCTACTCCTGTGAAAGGCAGGGTCCCTGGAGGCGGAGCCGGCAGCTCTTGTTCCCTCCTTGGACCTCTGGAGTGAAGCGCAGGGCTCTGGTAGGAGGGAGGACCCCCACTAGGTGACCTGCACCCCAGGGCCCAGTGCCCCGAGGGACCGTTCCCACTCCCACCATGACTGGCTCAGACTCGAGTGGCTTCCCAGGGGGATAAAAAGTGTCACACACAGAGTTCTGTGTTCACACGTTGCCGCAGTGGCCATTTCTGAGGACAAGGCCAGAAACCTCGAGGCTGTGAAGCCTGTTTGGCCTTTGCCAAACTGACAGGTCGAGTGGCTTCCTCCCAGGCCTGCTGGACAGGCGACAGGCGAGACTCCAGTCGTGCTGGGATTTGTGGTCTGGGAAGCAGCTGGCAGGCTGTTGGTGGCCCCAAGGCGCGGGCAGAGGAGGACCGAGGGCCTGGAGAGAGCAAAGCGAGCCGGGGGACAGCAGGCCGAGCTCGGGCCTGCGCTGAGCCGGGCCTGCGCTGAGCCCGGCCTGCGCCTGCGGGACCCTCCGCTCGCCTTGTCCATCAAGGCGGGGAAGTCACTCCGTGGGCTGCTGATGGTGACGGCGCCCACGCCCACGAGGGGCGCGAGGGAAGAGGAACGCCTCGATTGTGAAATGTGGCCCGCGGACCCCACTTCTGCTTTCGGTTCCGCATCTGCAGTGAAGTTTGGCGGGCGGGATGCTTTTCCGAGCATCCCTAGAAGGTGGAATGCCAACCGGGCTCAGTTTTACGAGCCGAGTGACACCTTCGCGTGGCCGTTGCTTGGCTGGGCCTCTGCTCTCTGGAAGCTGAGGGTCGCTCCAGAGGGGCCCGGGGCCTTGGGGAATGGGGTTCAGCAGGCCAGGTCGGGGTCCCTGCGGATGAAGGCCACCCCCTCCCCCGGGGCTGCCGGGCACCCCAGGCCGCCCTCCTGGGGGCCTGGCCCGCACAGCAAGCCCGAGGAGCGCGCAGCTGTCCACGCGCGGCCGAGGCTCCCGCGCGACCTCCGTGACCCTGCGGTGGGGGCGGGGAGCGGCGGCGGTCACGTGGCGGCGGCGGGGCGGGCGGGGCGGGCGGGGCGGGCGGGGCGGCCCCGCCCCGGGAGGGCCGGCGGGCACTTGAGGGCGCGGTGCGCGCGGGGTCAGCACGACGCGGGACGGCGCGGGACGGGCGAGCGCAGCATGGCGCGGGGCGGGCTGCGGCTGCTGCTGCTGCTGCTCTGCGGGCTGGCGGGCGCGGCGCGGCCCGGCCTCTACTTCCGCCGGGGCCAGAGCTGCTACCGGCCCCTGCGGGGGGACAGGCCGTCGCCGCTGGGGCGCAGGTGGGCGCGAGGCCGTGCGGGAGGGACTGAAGGAAGGCCGAGCGGGCGGCGGCGTGCCCACCTCCCGGGGCCTTTCTCTCTCCCCGGCTGCCCGGCACCGAGTGCACCTGCCTGGACCTTCGAAGGTCACATCCCGAGCCTCCCTCCTGAGGCGGCCGGGCCGGCCCCACCTCTCTGGCCTGCGGCTCTGGCCCCTGAGCCCGGCCTGGCCCTGGAAAGCTGGGCTGGCTCATTTGGGGGTGCCCCATCACTGTCCCATTCTGCGAATGCGGGGTTTGCTGGTGTGAGGGCCCCCGGGCTGACCGAGGCCGCACTCCCACGGCTGGGGGAAGGGAGAGCCACGGCCTGCTGGAGGGTCCCGACTGCCCCACGAATGCCAGCGCTGATTTTGGCGGTGTTTGTCTCCTCCCAGGACGTACCCCCGGCCACATGAATACCTGACACCATCGGATCTTCCCAAGTCCTGGGACTGGCGCAACATGAACGGTGTCAACTATGCCAGTGTCACCAGGAACCAGCACATCCCCCAGTACTGCGGCTCCTGCTGGGCCCACGGCAGCACCAGTGCCATGGCAGGTGGGTGACCTGGCCCAGAGCCTCTGAGAGGTCCCGCTCCGCATCAGTGCCGTGACCGCCCGCTGTGGGCCCAGCAGGCCTATCCCGGCTGGCTCCAGGGCGGCACAGGCTGCCCTCACCCCGGGGGCTGCGATTCTCTGCCAAAGGGTCGCAGCTCAGGCATCCTGAGGGCCTCCTCGTGGCCTCTCCTGACAAGGCCAGCAGGACAGGCAAGGATGGAGCTGAAGGTCCGGGACACGGGGCTCCCTGGTTGCCCCCCCTCAAGTCTTGTGACTGCAGCCATTAGGCTGGAACCAGAAATGCAAAATCACTGAGTTCCCACCCAGTGTGGTGGTGAGGGCAGTCCCAGATTCGGCTGGGCGGGTCCTGGGCGTGGGTGAGGCCTGCAGGATGTGGCTCCTGCCTTATCGTTACTGTGCCCATTCGGACCAGTTTTCTTGTCTGAACCTTGATCTGGTCGGAGTGAGGGCAGGGAGGAGGAGGAACCTGGGGGCCACACCCTCCTCAGGGCTGCTGTGCCCTGGCCTAGGGGAGAAGGCAAAGAAGCCCCGAGGTCCCAGGCTGTCTGCAGCACGTGAGAGGGACCTGCGGTCCCCTTGGCTGCCCCAGGGTTCCCGGATCCTGAATCCCTCCAGAAGAACTTCCGCTGTTGGGGAGAGACGCTGTCTCCTCCCCCGGCTGTTATCTCTCTGGCCAGGCCTGTCCTAGGTGTGGCCTGTGTTTGAAAGGGTAGCAGCTGTACAAGGGCGGCTGGCTGCTGCTTGTGCAGGCTTTGGGGCAGGAAGTCACCTGTTCACCCTCTTCCTTAAACCTCCCGCGGCCCTGATCGTGCTTAGTTAGCAGGGGAGGAAACTGAGGCTCTTCGTGGGCGGGGTAGGGCGACTTGGCGGTGGCAGGGATTCAAGCTCAGAAGCCTGAGGCCTGGCGTCAGGGCAAAGGCTCCTGCCTGGGGCTGACTGCATCCCGGAGCTGGACAGCTGTAGCTGTGGCACTGGCAGAGTCTGTCCTGGAGGCCTGGCTCTGTCCCTCTGGGGAGTGGTGAGGGGCTGGTAAGCCTTACTTCTAACCCTTCAGGAAGGAGCTGGGACCCCTCTGACGGGGTCTGGGGGGCCAGGCCGGCAGGCAGCTGGCAGAGGGTCCAGGCAAAGAGAACATCCAGCCGTGGTGGCGCTGGCGCTGGGGAAGTGAATGGCTCAGCAGGGCTGGGTGCGCATGACAGGAGCATGAGAGGGGTCACCTGGGCCCGTGGAGGGAGCCATGTGGCGAGAGGCCCCTGTGTGGGAGACTGCAGCCCAGGGAGGAGACGGCCACAGCCCAGTGTGCCCTGGCCCCCTTTGACGGGTGCTAGGCCCTGGCCTCCTGTCAGGCCAGCATTTCTGGAGTCAAATCTCTCTCCAGGCACAAGGCAGCTTCTCTCTTTTTCCCCAAAACTCTGACATCTTTGGCAGCAGCCAAGGCCTGTGCTTCCTTTTTCGCTGAGAAGACAGAAGCCACCAGAGGGGACTTTGTGGGGCCTGCCATCTGCCTGCGGGGCAGCAGCAGCGGGGGCGGAGCATTCCCTCTTCCCTGTCCCTAGGGGTCAAGCAGGCAATCCCCCATGGAGGCCACCCTCCTGTCACGGTCGTCATGCCCCACCAACTCAGGAAGTCCTGCCACCTCCACCCAAAAAAGTACCTTGTTCCTACCCAGCCTCGCCAGCCTGCGTCCAGAGTCCCCTGTCCCTGTCCCTCTTCTCCAGGCAGCAGGGGCGGAGGTCATCCCCAGGCCTAAAAACAGGAGAGAAATCTGGACTTACCAGGGACCCCGCAGGCCACTCCCTGCTCACCCTGCTCGTGCTGGCGGGACCCCAGGCCCCAGGCCTCCTCTTTAGGCCCTCGCCGTGCCGGCTGTGGGTGGCATCCCGTTAGGGGTCCTTCGGTGTGCGCCCTGTGCAGCAGAGCTCTGATCTGCTTCCTCCTGCTGTGAACCCCGTGTGCAGCACGTATGAGGAGAGGCCGGAAACCCCAGCTACTCAGGGGCCTGGGGCAGAGGATTGCAAGACTGAGGTCAGCCTGGGCAGCTTAGCAAAACCCTGTCTCAATTACTTAAAAAAAATTTTTTACAAGGATGTAGTGCTTGTTTAACATGTCTGAGGCCCTGAATTCAGCCAGGGTACCAGAAAAAAAGGAAAGAGAAAAATCTGCTGACTGCTAGGAAGGTGCAGGGGGTGGACGTGCTTGGGTTGGAGGCTTGACCATGGAGGAAGCCTGGTACCGTGCCAGCCTGTTTGTCCAGTTGGGGTTCCAGACTGTATTCCCAAGTTGGAGCCTGGTGGAGAGCCGGACCTAAAACCGCCCTGCTGGGCACTGCCACTGGCCATTGCTGCTGGGACCTGGAGGGAGGCAGGCAGTGAGAGGACACGAGGGCCTGCCAGGGCCGGGCGCAGCTGAGATGGCCCACGCAGGTGATGCTTCCAGAAGGCTGGAGCAGCCTGTCTGCTGCCCAGCCCTGGGAGGGGTCGGGGCAGATGAGGCTGGGGAAGTGGTTGGCAGTGATGTGATGGAGGATATTGGGCACTGCCCATGCTTGCGGGGTTCTTCATCTTGTCTCGGGGTGTTACTGCAGTGTAGAGATAGGGACCGTGGAGACAGGGAGCTTGGTCGAGCAGTGTTGCCAGTGGTGTTTGGAAGGGAGATGTGCAGAGGGCGAGGGGCATCTGTCTCCCATCTCAGGTTGGTGCTGGAGGTGGATGGGGGCCCAGGCTCTGTTGGGACACTGGCAGGGCCGCGTGTGTTCCCCCGGCACTGAGAGGGGAGCTGCGGCCTGGAGGGCAGAGGGCAGCTTGGGGGAGCTCCTCCTGGGGAGGGAGGGGAGAGGGGCTTGGGCCAGTGTGCCCTGGGCAGCTGGACACAGAAACTTGAGCTAGGCAGCGGTAAGACGAGGTCTGCTTTTGGAGGTAATGAGAGAGAGAGAGGGGTGCTGCAGGACGCAGGGCTGGGGTGGGTGGCAGGATGTGTTTGGTGACTGTCCCAGAAAGTAGAGAGAAAGGCGGCCCTGGATTGAGTAGGACCGGCGGGCAGCCTGGGTCCCTCTGGGAAGAAGTAGCTTAGTTGGGCTCCGGTGGCTGCCCCTCAGCCAGTGCAGGGTGGCCCTCTGCACCCTTCAGTGTGCTCAGGACCTGGGCCCCCTGACCTCCCCAGCTCCCTGGACAGCACCAGGCCCGCACTTGTCCATTCTGCTCCCGGAGCTGTGGGCCCAGCCCTCCCTGCAGGCGCCCATCTGGCTTGCGCAGCCACCCTGCAGCCCTCCAGGAGGATTTCTTGGGAACCTGAGCTGGCCCTCTCATGGCACTCGTGACGAGGTGGTACAGGCAGAGACCCAGGGCCTGAGAAGGGCCAGCACAGGCCTCTGGAGCACCAGGGCTGAGGGCCACGTGGGGAAAGGCCCACGTTGGGGAAGGCCGTGATCTGGTGGCTGGTGGCAGGAGGGCGGGCAGGTCCCTGTGGCTTGCCATGGGTGCCCCGTCCTTAGGGGAAGTGGTGGTGATGGGGTATGCTGCTGGGTGGCGCTGACCAGGGTGCTGACCACTGCAGATCGCATCAACATCAAGAGGAAGGGCGCCTGGCCCTCCGCCCTGCTGTCAGTGCAGCACGTCATTGACTGTGGCAATGCAGGCAGCTGTGAGGGGGGCGAAGACCTGCTGGTGTGGAAGTATGCCCACGAGCACGGCATCCCTGATGAGACCTGCAACAACTACCAGGCCAAGGACCAAGGTAGGGCCTCCCGCCCTTCCCTTCCTCTTCCCAGGACAGGGTAGCCATGAGCCCTGTGCTTTTTACCCCACGACTGGGGCCCTGGCGAGGGAGGTTGGAGAATACAGGTTCCAGGGAGCGAGCTCGCAGAGACACACAGCCAGCCTTGCCCCGGGCCACCTTGAATGTGGCGAGGCTGGGGCAGAAAGCCGGAGCCCATGGGCCTTGTTGAAACCAACCACTAAGGCTGGCATGGAGAGGTATCAGAAGGGCACTGTCCCCTCCCCAGGCCTCCAGGATCGGGAAAGGCCAGCCCAAATACCCTCTGTAATTGGACCTGGATGTGGCGTGTGGGTATTGACATTTGGCATTTGGTGGCTTTAGGGGCTCTTTCTGGGGTAGAGGTGCACATGGCATTGGGGAGGTGAGGATCCGTTTTCCAAGGGCTGAGAGCAAAGAGCAGGTGAGGGAGCTGGAAGCCAGCAGGTCCACCTGGAGCTCAGCATTGGCCCGGCCCCTGCCCCCGTGGCCTGGGCCAAGCACCTTTTAGGTTGTGACGTTGGAAACGGAAGGAAAGGAAAAGGCCAGACCCAAACCCACGCTTGGCAGCCACTGGACTCAGGTCTCCCTCCCCGCCGGGCAGAGGAGGTTCTGAGGCAGGAGCAGGAAAGCAGGCTGGGAGTTGGCTGCAATGCCGTGTCCGCTGTCGAGGCGGAGGGCACTGGCACTCCCCGTGCTTGTGGGGCTCCCCATCTTGCCTCCGGGGTGTTACTGCAGCCAAGAAGTAACTCCGGAGTGGTTACATCCTTTGTGTGCGTGAGGGAACACCGAGGTCCTGAACCCCAGAGCAGTGATGCTGAGCCTTTTGGAGCTTTCAGTGCTGACAGCCAGCCCGCGGTGGCATGGGTCTCGTGGTGCAGGCAGGGGAGGGAAGGATGGCGGGCTGTCCTGAGGAATCGGGTGGACCCTAGGCCACGTCCTCTCCAGCCGATTCCCAAAATGGCGTTCTCCGGCCAAGGCCAGGCGCCTCTAACCCACCCAGCCTGACAGGTGGATGGAGGGAGCTATCCGAAGCCTGTCTGCGGTAAACACGCTCTGCCTGGTGTTTTCGTGTTAGCAAGTGTAGCCAGGGCCACCATTTTTCAGCTGCGCTAGGCGCTGGGCCTTGGGTGTCTAAGGGACAAATTAAACCAAAAATGCAACCCTCGGGGACTTTACTGTCTGGGGGAAGACCTGGGAAGATGGGTAACATAGTGTCACTGCACAGCAGCAGGAGACACGCCGGGTGGCAGGCTGCTCGGGGAGAGGAAGAACGCTCCCGGCCAGGAGAGCGCAGCCGTCCTGTTGGGCAGCACCGAGGCTGCCTCCTTCCCGGTTTCCTTCCTCTTTTCCTCCCTTCTTTCCTTTTTACCTCTCAAACAAAAATAACAAGAGCGTACATAGTTTTTTTAACCAAATATATTGGCCTATTTATTCACTAGCCAGCAATAGAATCATCTTAAAATTTTTTCCAAAGATTATTTTTTATTTTAAAGAGAATAAAACTAAACAGACAAAATAAAACCAATCAGAACAGGACAACAAAAGTGATACAGGACTTCAAAACAAGAGAATAGGAAATAAACAATGGCTACCACGGTATATCTTTGAAATAGCTACCCATGCCATCAGATATAATGAAATCAAGCAAAGTGAAATAAAACCAAACTATGAAAACAATACAAAATAATAGGGCATTAACAGTGGCTGCCACCTTCAGAAGGAAATCCCCCCAGATGCTGTGCTGCATGTTGTTACTCTCCAGATAGATGCCAGGCCACTGGCCTTAGGCCTGCCGGTCAGTCCACCCTGAACACTACCAGCACGGTTCTGTGCTGCTCTTCTGACTCCAGCACGCTCCTCTCGGCCTGCTTCTCCACACCAGTGGTTGCTTACAGCGGGGGTGGAGGTGGGGAGCGCGGCATCCCCCAGCCCACGCAGCGGCTGGCTCACTGGAAGGGCTTGGCTGCTTCTTTCTGCTCCCAGCGGCCCAGGACTGTGCCTCACTGGAAGTTAGGGTTAGTCACAGTCTGTTCAGCTATCGAGTACTGTGGGAACTGCGTGGTGCCTACTGTGTGCTGGTTACTGTGTGCTTGCTTTTTCCCCTCAGCCTGGGGACAGCTTTCCCAGACTCCTCTGCAGCTGGCAGACGTTACCTAGTGGTTTCTGTTGCCAGGTGATGAGTGGCAGGCTGAGATGGAGAAGTGGGGGAGCTGAGTGCACGTTTCTTTGCGAGGAGGTTAGCAAGTGGTGTCTCACGCCTGCTTCCTGCTCATCCCCAGAGTGTGACAAATTCAACCAGTGTGGGACCTGCACCGAATTCAAAGAGTGCCACACCATCCAGAACTACACCCTCTGGAGAGTCGGCGACTACGGCTCTGTCTCCGGGAGGGAGAAGATGATGGCGGAGATCTACAAAAACGGCCCCATCAGGTGAGGACCCGCCCTGCGGCGGAGGGGCCTCCAGGTGGAGGCATGTGTGCAGGCGTGGGGACCTGTGTGTCGTCTTCACCTGCTGTACCTTCACTGTAAGCACTTCCGTTTTCTCCGAAGTAAGCAACCCTAAGGTGGTTCCTGGCTGTCCGGACACAGGGGCAGCTGAGGCCGCGGCCTCGGCAGGAAGACACTGAGTATGGGCGCCAGTGCCCATGGGTGCACTGTCACATCGGGAATTCTGCTTGTTCACAGCTGCGGCATAATGGCGACAGAAAAGATGGCTAACTACACCGGAGGCATCTATGCAGAGTACCATGAGGATGCCTTCATCAACCACATCATTTCCGTGGTCGGGTGGGATGTGAGCAGCGACGGCACCGAGTACTGGATCGTCCGGAATTCGTGGGGTGAACCCTGGGTGAGACACTCTCACACACAGCGGGGGGAGGGACTGGGGCCCGATCCCCCACCGCATGTGTCCTAGGGTGACAGGCAGCGCCAGCCAGCAGCTCCTCCTGCAGCCGCTACTGGGACCGCTGGGCAAGCAGAGCTCCCTCAGCCCCACCATGCCCGGGCAGAGTGGCCGCAGGGGCATCAGGCCTCTTCCCCGCCTCCTCCCGGGGCTCTGGCGCAGCCTGAGTCACAGTGACTTTTCAGGAACACTACTTTGAGCTGGGTCAGAAATCACCTAGCATGGAGCCTTTATCAGTGTAAGACACAGAAGCGCATCATCCCCAGTGGGGGAAAGGTGGCAGCCTTGAAAGCGCTCAGCTTTAAATGCCTGGAGATGTCGGTGTTAACGGGGGTCGGGCAAGGGTCCGCAGGCAGGTTTTGTTACGTTAGTTAGCCTTGGGACAGAGGGCTCTGGGGTTAAATATTCACCCACTGCAGAGGGTATTTACACACAGGGTCACGGGAGGGTGATGGGCAGGGTGCAGGGTGGCCAGACACATCCTGCAGCTGGCTGAAGGGCAGAGGCCAAAAGCAGGGCTGGGGGGGGCAGGCTCTGGGCAGAGGAGCTGAGGGGACTTTCCTTCTCCAGGGCGAGCGAGGCTGGATGCGGATAGTGACCAGCACCTACAAGGGCGGCAAGGGTGCCAGTTACAACCTCGCCATCGAGGAGAGCTGTGCCTTTGGGGACCCCATCGTGTAGGGGTGAGGTCAGGAACCCTGGGCCACACGACCGGGCTGATCAGCCGGACGAGAGCGACTGTCAACACTGGACACCGTCACTGCACTGAGCACCCAGAGTCAGCTTTCTGGCTGAAGCGCCCCGCACCCCTCACAGTCCGCTGCTTAGCCCTGCTCGGCCACTGCCCCGCCCCCGGTGAGGAGCGGACCCGAGCCAGGGCACGCGGGCCTGCACGGTCTGCTGTCTCCCCCGTCTCTCCCGGTACCAACCACGGTCTGTAAGACGGCACTAACGAGGTACAGTGCCTGAGCTGGAACCCCACTCTTATGCCCCACAGAATCAGTGCTGCCCATGGCATGAATAAAGTATCTGGCTTCACCCAACACCAGAGCCTGCCTGTGCCTTACTCATACTGAGACCAGAACATCGGAACCATGCCTTCCAGCCCGCAGAAAGGCTTTTTAAAAATTTATTTTGTGTTCTTAGCAAATTTAAACACACACACACTCTCTCTTTCACACAGTCTACCAAAAAAAAAAAAAAAAAGTCAGCCAACCAGTTTGGTTCTTCTGAGGAAACTTCAGTCTACCTTGAAAACACTCCCCAAGTGTCTCCTGAGCTCCTACCATCCCTGGCCTGACTGACAGTGGGTCACCCCGAGAAGAACAGGAACCCAGTTCCTGTGCTGAGGGACTTCAACACTGCACACAGGACTGAGGAACAGAACTGGGCTGACAGCAAAGAGAAGGGACTGTCCTTACCAGCAGGTCCGCACTCGCACTGCTAACATTTCCCTCTTTTAAAAAATCACACACACCCCTCGCCCCAGCACACCCCATGTCCGACCGAGACGCTGACTGAGCTGCTTCAAACGGCATCGCCCGCAAGGGTCCTGTAGCCAGGCTCCAGAAGGTTCTGCTTCAGCTCGGCGATGTTCTGATTCAGTTCACCATGATGAAGTTAGACTTGCAGTGAGCTGCAGTGAGAGGCACAGTCACAGGGCTGTGAGAGAGCCACTGTCATGGCAGAGCTGCCACAGGAGGGGAGGCGAACACAGCGCCGCCGCCAGGGGACGTCCACACAGGCCTTACCAATAAACTCGGTCACCGGGTCATGTTCGCCCTCTGTTTTGATGGTGCCTGCAATGCTATCGTTTTCCAAGATGGGGAGGAAGAGCTGCACGAAGTCAGAGGTGTACGGAGGAGCGATGACATCCAGCACCTAGGAGGGGAGAGCGGGGTCACCCTGCCTGCAGCCGCCGTGCAGCACCACAGCGACGGGTGAGAGGACAGTCGGTCTGGAGCAGCCCCCCGCCCCCGGGCTTTCTGTGCAACACTGGTCTCGGGCACTAAGGCCGCAGGGCAGTTCCTGCAGGGCGGAGGCACTCGGCACAACTGCTATCTGTCATCGCCCTCTCCATGGTTTATCAAAAGCACAGTTCCGAGAGTTAGGCACAACGTGAACTAAGCTAAGTCAAAAGGGCACGACTAGTGTAAAGAGCATGAAACACGAAACCAACGGTGCATTGCTGACCTCAGTGACAAAATAGCGAATGAGTGAAATGTCAGTGTCCAGCTTCTCCAGACACTTTCGGATGTAACTGACAACAGGAAGTACATAACCTCGACTCAGCAGGTGAACCATCCTGTCCAGCAGGGTCTTCTTTAACTCAAGCTGCGGAAGAGGGGGCAGAGGAGCCGGTCAGAATGGGGTGCTCCCCCAGTCCCCCAAGCCCTGGGGTGCTGCTCACCTGCTCCATTACATCCAGCTGGGAGTGCTCAGTCTCAAAGAGCTTAACAAGCAGCTGTAGGACCTGGGGGTGCAGGAGCTGGTGGCAGGTGCTGATCTACAAACAGGCCAAAGGGAACCTTACTGAGGAGCGCGGTCAGGTTTCGGAGCTCCCTCTCAGAACCCAGAGAGCCACTGTCAGGGCACTGCTGAGGCGGACAGCCTTGAACGCTGAACCATGCTCATCCTTTCCGTAACATTTAGCAGACACCAAGAAATCGACACAATCAATAAAAACTTTGCTTAGCTAGAAACAGTTCAAGAAAGTTTTGGGAAGAGTATCTACCACTTTCGCCAAAAAGATGCAGGGAAATTCAGATGTGCCCAGCACGAGATGGCCCCGTACCTCATCTAGCAGCGCCAGGTGCACTGGAGTGTGGTCGGTCTGCAGCTGGAAGTACCTGGGTTCCGACACGGTCCAGTCCACCCACTTCAGCACACCCATTGCTACCACTGGGAACCTGGAGGTGGGTGATCAGGGAGAATGACTCCTTTAGCAGGAGCAGGAAAAAGGTGCTGAAACGCTGTGAGCACCAGGGTTACAAGTTTAAGGACAAACCGAGAATGCCCACCAACTGACCCTTTAGTGTGTGCTCTCAGAGGACATGGCGTGATGGGCGCAGCAAAGCAGATTCCATTCCCAGTTCACTCGCACTCGAATCACTTTACTAATTTAAACAGGGGACCGTTTGTGTGCAGCACTCTGGCTGGGGTGGGCCTAGGCTCAAGGTCACCTTTACTTAGCAAGCGTCCCCTTGGTCCCCCAGCACCAGGAAACGGGAAGACTAAACTGCTTACAGGATGCAGTATTTCCTCCAGGACACCATCTACACAACTGGCACAATCATCACACCATCCCCACATAAGCAGTATTTCACTGCTGTAACTTTTACTGCAGATGAACCCTCTCTTAAAGGCAAACTTTGTAATTCTGGGTGGTTTTCCTCTTACTAAGTCTCACCTGTGAAGATTTACTGAACAGATTTATACCAGTGAACAGCTGAAATCACTCACGCTGTGAGCCTGTCTAAAGTCCTCCAAACACATTTAAAAAACAAAGAAAGAAATGGAAGGCCCAAGTATCCCAGAAGCGTCGGTCGGTTACATGAGCTTTTACTGAGAAAGCCTGGCCAGTGCCCCGAGGGTCCGGCCTGGGGACCGGCTGCAGGGCTCACCTAATACACTGGTAAAGTGTGCTCAGTTCCGCCACAAGTTCGGAGGCGCCTTTGTTCTCATTACAGCACAAATTGTGAACCGTCTCCACGGCTTTCGAAGTTGACTTCAGCTCATCTTTGTTGATGCTCACCCGCTTGTTCTGGAAACACACGCACAAGGTGGTGAACCCCGAGACACCGCCGCCCTGCTGCCAGGTGTCCTGACATCAGCTGCTTCCCTCTGCAGGGCCGCTTCCCTGGCTCTGAGGTCAGAGGTCAAATTAACTGTCAAACTGCAAAGTCACACAGGGCAGGAAAACTGAAACCCAGGGAGACCAGTGTTTGGCTTAGGAAATCAGTTTCACTTCTTTGGTAACGTTTCACATTATGGTTTGCAAAGTATCAAAAAGTCTATGCAGAGTTTCTTGTGACGTTTAGCGCTTTTGCTATCTTATGCACAAACAGAAGAAAACAGTCCTAACTCTAGACGAGCTAGGGAGTTCTTGTAACCACAATTCCCCAGTAATACCACAGCAGAGGATACTGGCTCCTGGAGGCCAGAGCTGACAGTACCTTCTTCCAGGTCTCAACCACACTTGCTGCATAAGCCAAGATGTGGATGTACTTGTGTTTGTGGTCCTGGTTGATCCGGGCGCCTGGCTTGAAGAGTGACTGCATGAACAGGTCCAGGAAGGCGGGAACTCGGATCTGGGAAGCACACACCAGAAGGGGGCTGACAGGAGAGCGGACACACACGCTCACATCACCCTGCAGGACTCTGGGAAGCGGGGGCGCCACCGTGCCCGAAGGCTGAATGTGATGGGCAAGGCCAGAATACGACAGAAACATTTCCATTTCAACCTGGTTTTGCATTTGCTGCCTCAAGAGAATTAGGGAAAGGCACAGACTTTCCAGAGCAACCCTGCCAATCAGCACTGGGGTGTCCCACCTTACAAAAACGAAAGGCCACTCACCAGTTCAACGGGAGGGGGGTCCATGCTTGTGAACATCTTGAACAGGACTGTGATGTCTGCGGGGTTCAGAGCACCTTTGGAGAGCATGGCCCCAAGGGCCTGGCAGGCACGGGGGTAGGAGGCGGCTGTGCCCAGGGCCAGTGTGATCTGACTGGCATCGTGGCCTCTTGATGGAAAAACCACACAGCTTGTCACTAACAGGCCAGTGTACACTTTTATGTTTTTCTTGTTTTCCTTTCTACCTACTTAATGCTTTCAACTGCTGAGATCTTTTTCATATTTCTGTCCTTCACTGGTTTACTGACCCCATAACCCAAGAAAACAACATTTAGAGTGAACTGGGGAAAATTATTACAATACAGCTTACAGATGGGAAAGGGAAATCGTACACTTTTTAAAAAATCTTAGACTCTGTTAGTAGAAGGAAATGAAAGTTAGTAAGAGACAATGCTCTACAAGACACAGACGGTAGTGTAACACCCAGGTCAGTGAGTCGCTCTTCTAACACTCTTGTTATTTGCTATTGATGACCCTAACATATGAAACAAAAGTTACACACCCAGGGAACTGAAGAATACTCAAGTACTTTACAAAACAGTCATCAAACAAGAGTCTGAAAGTCAAGTTCCCCAGAATTACAAACCACCCTGACTTCTAGCTCTCCAGGATACACATTTACCTAGGCGTCAGAGGGAAGGGACTAGAAGCCTGGCTGTGACTAGGGGCACAGGGCTGAGTGGGGGAGTCGGGAAGTAGAGCATGGCCTCACTTCTCCTGGGCGTAGCGCTGCACCTCCTGTGCGACCCTGCGGACTGCGGAGCCGCCCTGCTCCTCCTGCGCCAGCACCGACATCACAGCCTGGGCGAACAGGTACGTGTGCTCCCCGTGGCACACCATCTTCTGCAACGGGACAGCGAGACAGAGCTGAGGGCCCACGCACAGCACAGAGGACAGCTCTCGGGCAGGGAAATTACTTCTGGGGCGGGGCAGGGCAGGGGCAGGAAGCAGCTTTTCATGCTTGAAACTCAAAACCCCAACCAGCCTCTTCATCCAAGAGTCACAGAGTAAAGAACTTACAGCAAACTCGGGAAGATTTTTTTCAAGATTTTCTTCTCCTCCATCCAAAATTGTGGCTAGAGAGGTTCGAAGCACTCTGGAGAACACTTCCAGCTGCTGACATGCCGTGGACACGCTGGTGATCTCCCCTTGGTACCCTGCATCAGAAATCAGCTGCCACACAAAACAAAGATGGAGCATAAGGACCAAGTGACCCCGCCTTTCAGAGCAGGTGGCTGGTCAGTGTCTGTGCTGAGCAGAACACACACACACTGCTCTCGGGTCCCCAACCTCTGCGGTGCCTCCTGCTTTGCCAGCATCTAGGCCACGACCCAAGGTCACTGCCTGTATAGGGTCTCTGTGTAAAAGCAAGCAGGAGCAGGCATGCTTATAGCTCCTCAGCACACATGC